TAATCAAAATTGACATCCCTATTTTGTCTACCATCTGACATTAAGGTCGGCCTCAGAAGGTCTGAGTCAAATACAATGCCTCTAAAATAATAGTTTGAAACTATTATTTAACAGGAGATCCCATGCAGCGCTTAACACAATTTACGGAGAACTGAGATCAATCTCTCTTAAGCTCAAACAAAAACGATTACTGGGAAATCATCTCATTCGTATTCCTATGGCATCCTTCTGGAAGTGTCTTCTCACGAAAATTGACTTTCCCAGACACCATAGCTTGGGACAGGGTTGGACATTAGGGATCTGGGAATGCAGGACCGAACAGTGTGGGAAGGTATTGTTAATGGAGTTTCGACCAACCATAGGAAGGTCGAAAAATGATGATGATGATGATGATGATGATGATGAGCCCGAATTTTCTTGCATTTTTATTGGTTCCTTACTTCTTACATGCTCCATTACGAGTTGTAACATCAAATCTTGTACAGCTGCAAGATACTTATAAAGCCCCATTTTTGAAATCTTTTAAGACAATTCCAGTTGAATCGTTCCCCTATCTTGGCAGATACAAACAGTCAACGTCTGCCTTAAGGTGGTCATTCTATTGCATGTTGGCTGTACGAATCTATAGATTAATTTTCTTGGGTTCCTTTAAGTTTGAACTAGGATAGCAAAAGTGTTCATGGCTATTATTATATTTTTTTAAAATTCAATTCGGTTTCCGTTGTTAAACACTGTTGTAATCTAGAAAAAATTTCTGAATGAGGAATAACCAAAACGGAGGTTGGAAATGAAAATGATAATCTTTATAACATCAACAAAATACAATACTCGCCAGCGGCATGAACTAGGTAAACCACTGCTGGTGGTGGACTACTTAGACTGCCTATATTTCTGAGATAAGGTATCACATACACCATTTACATTATTAGCACTATTGTCCTCATTTTTGTCGCCATATTTATTATAACATGAGCATTGTTAAAAAAATGCTTGCTGAAGGCATTAGGTTTATAATACACAGAAATTCATACACAGTTGTCCACAAGGACATAAGGCATAGTGGATAAAGGCGCTGATTATATCCAGTGACAGGACCCCAAAAGTGTGAGTTCAATACCCGGTTAAGGAGAGGGGAATTAACAGGAGATAACTGATAACTGACATCCATTAAACATGGCACGGGGAACTAGGACAGTCTACCCCAGTCAGCAAAATAAAGGGTTCAGTTCGACATTCCAACCACCTGAAGAAGGCCGGAGCGTACAACGGCCGAAACGTTGTAATAAATATGGTGACAAAGACGAGGGCAATAGTCCGTATAATGTAAATAGTATACTTAGACTGCTTATTACATCCCACTTACAATAGTGTCCAACGCATTTATGAGGATTGGGACATATCCATTAGTGTTCATAGTTACGGTATATAACATACACATTCGCTTGATGCTTTCCATTTTAATTCCCGCCCAGATACTCGTATGTACCTTACTGGTCGAGTTCCTTAATTATAGTATCTACATCAAGGACTTTGAAAGCGAAAATATAATTCTTGTAAAATAATTCTTAATTTAGATGTAATAAAATTCTTGAGGTAATATAATTCTTGATCTTGATGTAATATACACCCTTGTGCAAATTAATTGAAACAGCCGCTTTAGTTTCCTTTCTTTCTGTTGAAACTTGACTAATGCATGGAATAATAATGCAACACAAAATGTACTTAGAACAAAATGTATTGAACAAGAAAGTGTACACAATATTTACATATAGTCTTTTGTATATTCCTGGTAAGACCGTCCCTGGAGAATGTGTTGACTGAGTCGCAGTCGGGCAGAGTCTCTGGTTGAATCTCTTGATTCCTCCCTCTCTTCCTGGTACCAACCATATTTATATGGTCGGTACTCCACTATGCAAATTAGGTGGATCCTACGACAACACTTTCACAATACGTTCAGTTTTAGACACCCTATAGGGGCAGGGCGTAATCGATTTCTATGTTTTCCTCAGACTAGGTCATTTGCAGTGGTGTGCAGTAATTTAATATCTATTTTCGATGACGTATGATGAAATTTGTTTGGCCTTGAAAAATATAGCGTCATACGAGAATGCACCAGACTTTTCTCACGCCCAGACACTATTGTTTCGACTGTTGATTAGTTGTCCTAAGGCCATTGTCTGCGATGGATCTTACTTCAAAGAAACGTACGAAAATTGTAACGCTGTACGAACACACTGGCAAACCTTACAAGCAAGAAATTCAAACTCTCCTGATTCAAATCCAATCGAGAATCTGTGGTCAATCTGCAAGGAACAACATCGTGGAATAGACATACGAAGTACTAACATATGCATTGGTTCATGTTTGATTGGGAAAATACGAAAAAAGTAAATAATAACGGAATTATTAGTTTTGTTTCAATTAATTTTCCCAAGGGTGTAAGTCTTGATTTAGATGCAATAAAATTCTTGATGTAAAATAATTCGAATTCATCATCATTTCTTGTTTATACTTTCAAGTCATCCATATAAGATATATGAATTATCCTTTTATCTTTGATCTTATACCTATATCTTATATTGTTTAACGATTTTATTATTATTCTGGGATTATAGAAATGTGAAGCCGCATCAAGTCCAGTTCATCATCTTGCTTACAAATGGTTGTAAAATGACAGTGTCGGTGTTATTGGTGCAACTAACAACAACTGATATTAAAATGAAAGAAATACTATTTCAAGATTAATATTATCTGACAATGATTCATCGAAGAAAATTTTCAAACATTATGAAATGGACAAAGTCCGACAATTATTTTAAGACATTTTTATGTTTATGCATTCTTTTTTATAGATACAAATATTTAAAATAATTGTCGGACTTTGTCCATTTCATAATGTGTGACGTCACTTGTTTACATTTGGCTACGCATTGAGCAGATATGAATGAACGTGAGAAAATTATGGAAAATTGTAGTTCAAAAATAGTAAAATCGACCTTGCTAACCGAAACGCTCCTCTGTGGCCAAATCGGTAAAAGCACGTCAGGCTATATGACGGTTCCGTATAGGATACAGGTTGGATTCCTGTCGGAAGACGCATATTTTCTATGAAAATTTTTCGGACATTCAGGCCGGTAAATGTCGTTAATACTGTTTATTATAAACAGAGCATTTACTTAAATATTTAAATTACGTAATTTGACTGGTCATGTAGACTTACAATGGAGAAGGAATAATAGGGACAAATAAATGCATAAAGAAATAACTACATTTCGAAGAATATATCTAAAAGAGTGCTGATAATTTATCGACCTACTTGAGGGTGAGGTGATTACTATAGGTCAATAACATGTCTGCCAAACGGAAGGGTGGTGTCTTACAGCAGGACAACACCAGATCTCCATATCTTTTTCTAGACACAACAGACATTGATACAGCTTTGCTGAGATGTTCTACGACAGTCGCCGTGCATATCTGACCTTTCACCTTCGGATAGACCCTTATTTCAATCCCTACAAAATTCCCTTATATTTTTGAATTGCTACTTATTTCAATACCTCTTCGACATTTCGATCAGTTCATCACATAGAAAGATTTTTTTCTGAAATCATTACGCCACAAGCAAGGCAATGAAGCCACTAAGACGTAAGTGTTAGAAAATATAAGATGAAAATTATTAAGGAGAGAGAATAATAAAATATCAAGAATTAAGAAGACAGAAGATAACGATTGACATTGCATTTAAATTTTTGAAGATCAAAGGCAATAAAGCCACTACGGTGCAAGGGTTACTGAGTGTTAGAGAATATGACAAAAACTACTATTAAGGAGAGAGGACAATGAAAGAACAAGAATTAAGAAGACGGAAGATAACGATTGACATTACATTTACATTTCTGAAGATCAAACTAGACTGGGTAGCTAACAGCCGGAATAGATTTCCACAAGTGGGGAACTGCGATAGAAGAAACTGTTAGCATAGAACCTACGGTTACATCTAGCCATTTTAGATGAGAAAATGACTGAAGCCGAGATGTCCGGTCAGCACCAGTAATACTGCAGATGCTTCTTTTGATTTTATCATGAACGCTAAATTTTGGGATGATAGAATTGTGAAGCCTCATCAAGTCCAGTTCATCATCTTGCTTACAAATGGTTGTAAAATGACAGTGTCGGTGTTGGTGGTGCAACTAACACCAACTGATATTAAAATGAAAGAAATACTATTTCAAAATTAATAATATCTGACAATGATTCATCAAAGAAAATTTTCAAAGTGTACGTAAGTTGACTGGTCATGTTGACTTACAAGGAAGACGGAATATCACGATAGGAAAAAAATAAATGCATAAAGACATAACTACATTTCGAAGAGTATCTCCAAGAGAGTGCTCATAAGTTCTCGGCCTGACCAAGAAGCCTCTTACGATTCTAAGAGTTGGCCATTTTGTCACATTTTGGGAAGTTAGTTGAGACGAGAACTTTTCAGCATTCATTTGTATTAATATAAAATTCTGCTGGACATAAAATGGGGTCGATTCTATATTATAATTAAGTAATTAATTGATACCCCACTACTACAGATCAGGGATGCTGGAGGGTTCTCATCCCAGATAAGGAAGGATTAAAAAAAAGGAACCCGATGAGTGTCAATTTGGTTAGATTTTGGTAAGTGGATCGGAACGAGAACTTTTCAACCATCCTTGTATTAAAAAAAAAAGATATAGACCATTGATTGATTGGTTCGTTTTCTACGGCTTATCAACATTTTGCAGGTTATTTAAAGCCATAACATATTTTTAGATTGCTAGACATTTTTTTGAGATATTAATGGTTTAGTGATACAAACCTAATTAACCCATAGCTGGGGGAGAAGAGGTGGATTCATACTTTTCCAAAGGGTATTTGCGCGTAAGTGAATATAACAAACCCACCGGGAATTGGAAGTCGGTCTTACGATTAACCATTACCCATTACACCACCTGCACATCCAAGCGTAGAGCACCTGGTATTCCCAAGCGGTCACCCAGGTATGTACTGATCAGACTTGGCGTTGCTTAACTTCGGTGATTGTACGAGAACCGGGGTTTCAACGTAATGTCGCCGTAAGCTCTATTTGATTTCAGTGAAAGAAAGAAAGAAAGAAAGAAAGAAAGAAAGAAAGAAAGAAAGGGGGAGCTAGAGGGGTGAAACAATCTATTGTGATTATCGTCTGCTTCAGTGAATTGGGAAACAGTGTCAATTTTGAAACTTTTCATTTGTATCCTCTTTTTACTTCTTTAAATGATAGCTTAGACTCATATTTAAGATTGTTATTGCAATATTTAGTTGAAGTTGTGAAATTTAAATAATTAACTATGCAAACGGGGCATGTTATAGTCTTAGAAATTGCTCGACTTTTCTTCAGTACATTAAATTAAGAATTAGGATTCATCAGAAAATTCAAATACCAAAACCGTGAGATTTTCACGAGTACTGACCGGTATTATTATTATTATTATTACTACTACTACTACTAATATTTTTAAATATATAAACCTAGTCAAAGTACTATTAGAGGATAGATAGATAGATAGATAGATAGATAGATAGATAGATAGATAGATAGATAGATAGAATAATGAACAAAATAGATAATGAAGATAGATAAATAGATAGTAAATCAACAAAATTAGATAATGAACATAGATAGATAGATAGATAGATAGAAGGTAAGAAAGAAAGAGATAGATAGATAGATAGATAGATAGATAGATAGATAGATAGATAGATAGATAGAAAGAAAGAAAGAGAGATAGATAGATAATGGACAATGAAAGCTAGATAACAAACAAACATAGATAGATAGATAGATAGATAGATAGATAGATAGATAGATAGATAGAAAGAAAGAAAGAAAGAAAGAAAGAGATAGATAGATAGATAGATAGATAGATAGATAGATGAATAGATAATGGACAATGAAAGCTAGATAACAAACAAACATAGATAGGTAGAAAGAAAGAAAGAAAGATAGATAGATAGATAGATAGATAGATAGATAGATAGATAGATAGATAGATAGATAATGAACAATGAAAGCTAGATAACAAACAAACATAGATAGATAGATAGATAGATAGATAGATAGATAGATAGAAAGAAAGAAAGAAAGAAAGAGATAGATAGATAGATAGATAGATAGATAGATAGATAGATAATGGACAATGAAAGCTAGATAACGAACATAGATAGATAGATAGATAGATAGATAGATAGATAGATAGATAATGAACAATGAAAGCTAGATGACAAACAAACATAGATAGATAGATAGATAGATAGATAGATAGATAGATAGATAGATAGATAAATGAACAAAATTAGAGAATGAACAAAGATGCATAGAGAGATAGATAGGTAATGAACAAAGATAGATATATAGATAGATATGAACAGACTGGGAGAGAGAGAGAGAGCGAGAGAGAACATAAATGAAAACTGAAAGAGAATATAGAATTGTCTGTTCAACGTAAAATTCTGGAATGCTAAATTTTGTCTTCTAATGCTTCAGTTTCTTTTTCTTTTTTTCAATCTACTTTTAAAATTCTTTTTTTCCTTCTAGTTTTTTCTTTTTTTTCTCTTTCTTTTTTTAATCTACTTTTAAACTTCTTTTTTTCCTTCTTTCTTTTTCAACACGTCTTTCTTTCTTCCATTCTTTCATTTAAATCAAGAATTTTCGCTCGATTTTTAACTCATGTCTTTCTTTATAAAAAGTTATTATCAGCTTTGTTTCTAAACAAGTTCTTTATTTTATTTCTTTCAATGTTTTTTCTATCGTTTCTTGTCAGAGTTGGCGTACCTCGACAAAGAAGAAAGACTTACTCAACCCTTACAGCGAAGCAATCCTGAGAGATTAAGAAGTCCTATCAGGATTCCTTGTTGGCGGCCAAAATCTTAACAATAAGGTATGCAGTGACACAGTGTTGCTAGCAGATACAGTATAGAAACCACAGGAACTTCTACAGAAGAAACTGAAGGAAAGCAAGAAGAAAGGACTAAGCATCAACTGTAAAAAAGCACAACGTATGGTTGTCAGCAAAAGGCGCAGGCCAACATGCAAATTACAAAATGGAGATGCCAAAATGAAACAACTTGAAAGATTTCGGACGTGCTTTAAAAATTGACGGAAAATGCATTACCGAAATCCGAACGCGTATTTGGGATAGTAAAAGATGCCTTCCAAAAGTTAAGCAAAGTATTAAGAAACAGGAAAAATTCATTAGAAATAAAAGGAATGATAAGTGAAATATGGCCCTCCTACATGGGCCAAGTGGTTCGAACGTTCGCTTTCTGACCATGAGAGCTAGGTTCGAATCTCACCCTGGTCTATTTGTCATCTTCCTGATGTTATCGGTCAGGAGTGGGGACGATCCCAGCGTGCGACACCTTTGGAAAGTGTCTGAAAAGCCTTGTGAGTTAGACACAAACATTAGGAGCCGTCGGTGGTTATGCTAGCACGAAGTCACAAGTCATCGTGACCGAGGGTTTGAACATGCTTGCTTTGTTCAGACTGTTAATCACACTAGATAACGCACTTTCTCCCAGAAACTGTAACTAAGGTTGTAGTATAAACCATAGGTGGGCTCTGTAGGTGTTGAACAAACACAAATGTGCCCGATCTGGCGTCTGCAATTGGGATTAGCCGTCCTAGTAGAATGGTATCCTAGGATTCGAGTGGCTGCGCCATTTACCTTATTTCATGGTAGGGAATGCTGTACAATATTTCCATAGAGGAAATTGTGGAGAGCTATGAACGCCCACCTCTTAGGAGCGCAAGGCAAGAAGAAGAAGAAAAAGAAGAATTTTTGAAGTTGAGTTATAAGGCATAGATACCGTCCTGCGTCCGGCGGCGAGTTCTCTGGTCTGGAGGTTTTGAGAAGCGTGGAACCATCTCTTGATTGCTAGTGTCCCAGGTTCACTGGCCCTCAAGAGAGTGGTGGCACCTGTTGGGCTCCTAGATATGGGTAGGTCGTTGGCCCCCGGGCTGGAGTCGAGGCAATGTGAAGTTGTAGAGATGGGTTTTAATACAAGAAATACTTTGTAAAAAAATTGTTACCAGCAATAAATTTTTAAAGAAAAATTATTACCAGCAATACATTATTACAAGTAATACATTTTGGAAAAAAAAAATATTACAAGCAATAAAAATTTTGTCAGTATTAAATAACCCATTGAGGGCGATATGCCATAAAACAAAACAAACCAAACCGAGGCATAGATAAAGTACAAATTGTCTACACAAATGAAAAGGTCAAATTTCTAACCACTTTATCTCGACGGGGGCGAAGTCGTACTTATATACAACGTTGCTATGTTGGTAGGTTGTTAAGTACAAACAACTGATCGACAAATTTGATATCAAAAAAGTATTTCATAACATTCACATGCGAAAGGCTGGAGAGTACATCGGCCGTAATATTAAGTAACCATAATACTTTGTTTTTCCCATATTATAGTTGCTGAAAGGTTTTCAGAGTGCATTGATAACATATAAAAGGTTTAAATTCACATCACTTTAAAACACCAGTTCCTGTACGATCACCCAAGTTAAACAACGTCGAGCCTGATCAGTACCCACATGGGTGACCGCTTGGGAATACCTGCTGCTGTAAACTTGAGTGTGCAGGTGGTGTAATGGATAAGTGTTAGTTGGAGAGTAGAGTTCGAATTCCCGTTGGGTTCGTTATATTCATTTATGGGCAAATATCTTTGGGAAAGGCATGAATCCACATCTTTTCCCCCAGTTATGGGTGAATTAAAACTTTTATCACTAAACCATTATTATTTAAAAAAAAGAAATTCTTACAATCTAAATATATTTTCTGGTTTTAAATAATCGCAAAGGGTTGATAATCCGTAAAAAAAAGAATCATTTAATAAAATATGAAACCATTGCGTTGGATTCTTTATTGTGCGTTTTTATTAAAAATATGTCAATATGAGCATGTATTTTATTTTCTAAAATGATAGTATAGTAGGACTCCCCAAATTCGAACAGAGCATAATCTGCACTTCCTCGAATTTGGACTCATCTTCAAATCCGAACTTTTGTATTGACACAAACATGAAACCTTTTCTTTTTCGTAAAGTGAAAGAATGTCATACTCGCTTCAAAAGCGCCATAGAAAAAACTGTCATGTACGCAAATGAAAAACGCAGCGAAATTCAAGATCTTAAAATAAACGAATGATAAGTTTATAACTTTCATAAATTTTTAAACATCCCCTAAAGTGGCTTAGCTTTTCACAAATTACAATATTTGTCTAGCATAAATTTTTTCATTACTATTGGTTGTCAATTACAGTGTCACCCGGATATAAGAGAGTTGTCGGGACCGGAGACGAAGTCTCTTATATCCGGGTTTCTCTTATATCCGGGTTTGGTCTATTTTATTTAGGTAAGTGTGGGAACACTTTGGGACCAGAGAAAATCTCTTATATCCGGGTCTCTTATATCCGGGTTACATTGTATTTTTCGTACATTTATGTATTCAATCTAAACTTTAAATAAAAACGAATCAATATTACAAACTACCCTTTGTATCCTAAACTCTAAAACTTAATAAAAATGTTAAGCTTGCCACAGCAGCGTTTTCTTCCCCGAATCCGAACAGTACCCTCAATACCGAACATCTTGGATGTTTGGTTTAGAGGAGTTGTACTGTATTTAGAAAATATCAACATTTTTTCATGTTCTTCTCAGTATGTGCAATTGGGATTCGTAAGGAGATTCGCATTCGAGAAACAATCTTCGCCTTGAGTATGATACCTTATTCCGGGTTGAAATCCGGTACCAATAAATAACAAACGCCAGGAATGAATATCTGAAAATAATGTATTAACGTAATAATCCAAACTGGTAAAACAGGTTAGTAATTCCAGGAATACGGGTTAGTAGCAAATATATATATATATATATATATATATATATATATATATATAGTCTTTGGTATTGAAGTATCGCTGTATGACTTCTTACTGAGTCTACGTGCTCGCTCACCGTGACTCCTACAACGCTGTTACCTCACCCTCACTCTTCCAGTTACCTACAACCTTTTACTCTGTCACTCTGGACTCGACTCGACTCGGGTATTCACTGGCAGTAGTATAAGTATACACTGGGTGAGTCCATTTGTATAAAAAGGGAGGGATCCCTCAACAAATACGTGAGCTAAGTATTCTAATACAGAAAGTCTTATGCATGTGCTTCAGTGATTATGAAAAAAACCTTATGATAAGTTGAAAGAAAAATAAATAATAAACTGATGTAAGTTCTTTTCAAATAGAAAATATTCGAGTGTTATGGAAATTTGAATGTGAGCAGAAAGCAGCTCAGAACTGCGGAGGTGGGGGGACAAGACGAGAGACCACTTCGAAATTTACAGGGTGGCGTAGCATCTCCAAACACTGTTCAAAACATGTCCAGAGTTCGAAGATGTGATGGATAAATATTGGTGTCCGAATACATCGCAGGAGAATCAATCATACCAGATATTGTTGCGGGCGTTATGTATGTTGAGTGTTTAAGTTGAAGAATACGTGTCCCATAGACTGTATATCCCACAACAAAAATAGTGGATTCAGTATGTGAGTCCGCGTAATATATCAAATAATCAACTAAAACGAATATATATATATATATATATATATATATATATATATATATATATACATGTTTCAGTAAATAATATAGACAAGTGTTGTCTATTTATTTTATGTAAATTCTTTTCATAACGTCTGATAAGCTTAATAACATTATCATTAAACGAAGAAAGAAAATCACAATATTGATCCATATTTTTTAATCCAATCTAAGCTTTCGGCTTACATAAGCCATTATCAAAGATGTCAATTACTGTACAATATATTAAGCAATACACGGACAAGACAGTGATGATAGTCTGTTATCGTTTACATAGATGATTTCCAAGCAACGATAAACATGTGCATATAAGACACTAGAAGCGAAAATCGCACCACAGCTCATGACGTCACACATGACCACGCGAGAGTGAATTCAAGAAGTATTAAGTATGGGAAGCTGTTGGTATAAACCAATGGCTTCTGTTACCAATTATAGACATTTAAGGATATTTGTGGAGATTTCATAGTTTATTTTGTTTAGGTTAGGTTTTAACTGTTTGATGTATATTGCTTCAAGGATTTCTAGTTTTGTTTATTGTTTTCATGTTTAAGTATAATTGTGTTTTCGACAAGGATTATATATATATATATATATATATATATATATATATATATATATATATATAAGATATTAAGACATTGTCGTACTTTGTCCATTTCATTATATATATATATATATATATATATATATATATATATATATATATATATATTGGCGGAGACGCTTCTGGACTCTATCGAAAGTGGAAAGTGAAACTGCTCCCACCCATATATGTCAGCTGCACTCCATTTTCGGCTTGATCTGTCTCTTGTAAAGGTAGATGATAGCAGGAGGGTTAGGGTACTTGCTGAAGCGGTACAGGGATCATTATCTCAGCATATTTAGCGAGAGATCGTATGTGCAAGTTCGACTTGAGGTCTGGATTGGGTTTAAGTCCCAATAAACGCCTAACGCCTGAAGATCAAGACAGGCAAAACCAAATCGATGGTAGTCTCAAAGAACAACACATTGAGCAGTTATGAGTCATTGTACATGGAGATCAATGATGAAAGCATTAAGCAAGTAAATTTATTCGTCCTTTATCACAGATAGAGTCAAATATCGTACTTCCCTCTGCCTTTTTTATAAACGCTTTTATGATAATTGTTCTGATGAACTTTACTCTATGGTGCCCCAACATGATGAATTTAAGTGCGGTACTAGATTGACACGGTGTAGTAATGGATAGTAGCTCGGATTGAGGAATCGGAGAGCCGAGTTCGAATTCCAGTAGAATTCATTGCTTTCACTTAGGTGCTAAAATCCTTAGGAAAAGTATGAATCTTCTTCTCCCCCCAGTTATGGGTAAATAGCAGGGAGACCGGGTTCTATAGCTTTGGATGGCAACTAGTCTACCGCAGAAAGAAATGGCAACCAACTGCGGGAAAAAAATCTGCCTTGTCTGTCATGTATCGAAGTATACATGATCGCCTACACGTATATCACGCTTGACACATAACTGACTGAAATTCACTTACGTGCTAATACCCTTGGGAAAGGTATGAATCCGCTTCTTCTTCCCCCACTAGCTATGGGTAAAAAGCAGGACAGACCGGGTTCTATAGCCTTGGATGGCAACAGTTCTACTGCAGAAACTTACTGCGGGAAAAAAAATCTTCCTCGTTAGTCATGTATCACGCATGGCACATAACTAACTGACTGACTAGATTGGCGGCAATGTCTCATCATTTTACTGTTGAAATGTCTACATATAACCCTAAATTCTATGAAAACAGTTTTTATTCTCGCACTTCTCGTTTGTGGATCTCTTTCGGCTTCTTGCTTTTGTGCTTTAAACAATTTGAATGCAATACCAATCGTTATCTTCCGTCTTCTTATTTCCTGTTCTTATACTGTTTTCTTTTTTTTCTTATATTCCCTCACATTCAGTAATCTGCTTGCGCCTTAGTGGCTTTGTCGCCTTACTTAGCGTGAAATGATTAAAAAGAAATTGAGACAAAGAAATCCGGCGGAGTATAATAACTAAAAAAAAAAAAAAAACCATGAAGATAGATAGTTTACTTTGGTTTATTTTGTTTTACAACATATCAACCTCAATGGGTTATTTAATGCCAACAACATTTTTAGGATAGATTCATATGAATAGAATATATATTCTTTGGTTTAGATTGGTTTGGTTTATTTTGTTTTAGGGCATATTAACCTCAATGGGTTATTTAATGCCAACATCATTTTTAGGATAGATTTGTATGAATAGAATATGTATTCTTTGATTTAGATTGGTTTGGTTTATTTTGTTTTATGGCATATCAACCTCAATGGGTCACCTAATGCCGACAAAACTTTTTATTGCTGGTAATATTTTGTTTTGTGAAAAATCTGTTTCTGGCAATATTTTTCCTTCAAAATTGTATTGCTGGTAATAATTATTCTCAAAAAAGTATCGCTGGTAATAGTTAACTATTTTCCCATAGCTGGGACCCCAACAGGCGCCACCACCATGGGCCAGGGTGAACCAGCAATTAAGAGGCGGTTCCACTTTCCTCAAAATCTCCCGACCAGAGGCCCCGCTGCTGAACATAGTTCATCGTCTTACCGAGGACAGGAAGATAGATAGATAGATAGATAGATAGATAGATAGATAGATAGATAGATAAATAGATAGATAGATAGAAACAGCACCAGATAGATAAATATTATGTAGATAAATAAGTTTTAACTTAATTTACAAATACATTTGCTCTTCTTAAAATGTTACATCTTGTATGAATTTCTCTATGGTTCACACACTTGAACGCTCGAAGTGTCTTGCGTGAAAAACATCAATTTTTTGTTTCTCCTTGGTGCACACTGCTAGCGGAGCGGCCATGTTTACACTGTACCAGCAACAATCAAACGCACAAACTTAGATCACGTGACCACAATGGTACCAACTAGAAGCACTCATGTGAAGAAGTCAGTGTGACAAACCTAACTAAAGGGTGTTTCATTAAGACGGATTATATATAAGGGTGTTTCATTAAGATGGATCAAAGTCAGCAGTAAATAAATCAGTGTTATTGGTGAAAATTTATTTATTTCTCTATTGGATCATGTTATTTAAGTCATGGCAATTATGTGTGAAAAATAATATCGCCCAAATGTTCGCCAAATCTGAAAGAAAAGGAAAAAAATCATTAGACGCTTAAATTTAATTCACATTTAAAATCGGTCCAAGTTATTGGAATATACTTTATATGGTATGGTGAAAGTGTAGATATTTTTTTGACTTACCTTCGTCGATGTGGCACTATCGACGCAGCTTACGAATATCATGGACCGGTAGGAGGCCGAACAACTCGGTGATGCAAGAAACTGGCCATGAGCAATTCTCTCTCTATCAAGGACTAATAAAAAAAAAAGAGCATTGTTCGGTAACGTAGTGGGACAGAACAGAAGAAAGCTAGAACGGTCATCGGAAAAAAGAGCACAGCGTAGACACGATCAGAAAACATCACGGCATTGACCAGTTGCAGGCTGAAATGTTTCGTCAGCACGACAAAAGACAGATCATAGATTCAGAACGAAGGCACACTGATTAAATGAACGCAATCGAACTCAGAAGGAATTGTTTTTGGCCAAGTCTTTCAAATGGAGAAGCATCATCATCATAATCATTATCATTACATTCATAATTTTTTTTCTGGAATTTAAGACAAGTAAAAGACTGTTTATCATCTCTGGAGTATGCTATCTTGTAACATGGGAAATATTTTCCCTGGGGTGTTCTGTTGATGATATATTGTGGAGTAACTGGCTATAGTTAAGTGTACAAGGGTGTCAAAAATTACCGGACTCTCACACTGCCTTCTGCTCATACGTGCTTATAGTTGGTACCGTTATGGTCACATGATTGAAATTTGAGCCTGTTTTCTTGCGGCTGTTACAATGTAAACATCGCCGCTCCGCTAGCAGTGTTCCCTCTAGGAGGAACAAAGAGCAGTGATCTGAATCTGCAGAGAATATTCTATCTCATCGATGATAACTCACCGTTTCGCCACCATCGCCTCTCGAGCTGGCAGAATTTTGATTGTCCCATCACCGGATATGATCGTAAGGTTGCTTCGCAGCTAAGCAACTGACCAGTTTACTTCAAATATCTGGATTGAGAGCCGGCGTGGCGTGTCTTCGGCTAGCAGACCTGGAGGAACCCATCCCTCACCCAGTCAAACCATAGTCGACGTCCTCCAACTTCAACGCTTGCCTTGCTCACAGACTTCCGTCCAGACCGTTGATTTCAGTCTAGGAAGCATGTCATCACCGTACTGGATAAACACACGCCTATTTCCCAGTATACCACATTGTGTTAGATGGCCGTTGACCCGACAAGGATCTATCCACCCTTTGTCAGATCTTTGTTTTTAATCCTGCTGTGTATCTAGTCTCTCTCCTCATTACATAAACCTGGTTGTGTACCGATTTAGTCGCCGATTACCCAACCATGGGGTAGGAAGTACTGCGTTACATGATAACAGATATAACATCCAATCGAAATGTTTAATATTAATAATATCCAACTAAAACAACGAGAGTAGATTTAGTTCTCGCGAGAGTTTCTAAACTTGAGAAAATTGATTGATTTCTTTGTTTAACAGCATAGCAACTACTTATGGATCGTTTAACACCGAAATATATAGTTAACGTTGAAGTAATAAAAATATGTTATTCTGCTTTCACAATTGTATACATGGTAGATCATACTGAGATTTTGTGCATATACATGTTTGTGTGGACGTAATAATTACTTTTATGCTGTAGTTTTGTTGAAGTTATATTTTGGAATATAACTTAAATTGTCGGATATCATATGGCTTAACCCTTTCAGCCCTGCGTTCCTGTACAGTTTTAACCCTTTTGCCTGGGCTCCTGAGTCAAAATTCACAAATAATTGGTATGTAATATTTCACGGTAGATATAAAAATAGTTACAAGTGTTTATCCACCGTTTAACCGGCGGTTGGGCATTGAGTCATTTTTCTCTACCACCGTTCAACCGGTGACTGGGCATGAGTCATTTTTCTCTACCACCGTTCAACCGGTGGCTGGGCATTGAGTCATTTTTCTCTACCACCGTTCAACCGGTGGCTGGGCATTGAGTCATTTTTCTCTACCACTGTTTAACCAGTGGCTGGGCATTACGTCATTTTTCCCTACCACCGGTAAAGCGGCGGTCAGGGATCAAAGAGTTAATGTCATGAAAGAGTTTTTTCATATTGTTTGGTTGATTTTGTTTAGCGGCATATCAAGCTCTATTGGTTATTTAATGCCGAAATGAAAATAATTTGAACAGTTTTATGGCTTCGACTAGATATATTTTGAATGCAATTGTATGCCTTCAGTCAGAGATAAATGTATCATTGATCATGATGCTTTAAAAATGAATTGTTGCTAATTTTATTATAGATCGGTATTGTTGCTAATTCTTTTTTTTTTTTTTTTTGCATAAAATGTATTGCTGGTATTTTTACTATAAAAATTAATTTTTATATCTTAGCTTATGGGTTTTTTGTTTGAGGGTTCACTATTTGCCCATAACTGGTACCCTAACAGGTGCAACTAACCAGGATCAGGGTTGACCTGGGGACAACGTCAATTAAGAGGTGGTTCCACACTCCTCAAAAGGTCCAATTTTCCGATCAGACGCCATGTAATCGGATGTAGTTTATCGTCATACCCAGGACGTATGCCAAAACCTCCAATTTCCTGATGAGAGGCCTTGCTGCCGGATGTAGTTTATCGTCATACCCAGGACTAGCAATTAACAGGTGGTTCTACGCTCCTCAAAACCTCCAATCTCCTGATCAGAGGCTTTGCAGTCGGATGTAGTTCAGCTTCATACCCAGGACTAACAATTAACACGCTCGTGTGAACCCCCAATCTTCTGATCAGAGGCTATGCTGCCCGATGTAGTTAATGTGAGGAGAAATCCCGCCTTTTACAGCATGTATTTGACGTGAAAGGGCGTCGGTTTGGCTGTTAGAATGAGTCAAGAGTATGTGCAGCTTGTCATAGCAACTGAGCAAAAGTCCAAGAATCTTAAAACAACAAAACTCGCTTAACAAAACCCAAGACGTAAACGAAACAAACAAAATCAAAATCACCCAATTAGGTGATGCTTTGCCAACAGCTAACTGGCACTGGGCCGAATTCTTTGTGAAAAAGAGTCTTCAGAATTATGATATTCTCTAAAGGAAGAGGAATCCATCTCAATATGGTATATTCTTCTGAGAGTTGGAGAATATAACATTGATAGAATAATTTTTTTCTGGAATTTAAGACAAGTAAAAGACTGTTTATCATCTCTAGAGTATGCTATCTTGTAACATGGGGAATATTTTCCCTGTGGTGTTCTGTTGATGATGATATATTGTGGAGTAACTGGCTATAGTTAAGTGTACAAGGGTGTCAAAAATTATTGGACTTTCACACTGCCTTCTGTTCATACGTGCATATAGTTGGTACCGTTATGGTCACATGATTGAAGTTTGAGCCTGTTTTCTTGCGGCTGTTACAGTGTAAACATCGCCGCTCCGCTAGCAGTATTCCTTCTAGGAGGAACAAAGAGCAGTGATCTGAATCTGCAGAGAATATTCTATCTCACCGTTTCGCCACCATCACCTCTCGAGCTTGCTGAATCTTCTCGTCACTGGTGGAGGTTGACGTGCATCCTGCTTCTTCTTCGTGCGTCATGCTTGTCCGGACAATTTTTAAACTTTTCAGTCCACCAATACACACTTTAACGCAGTAGTGAATTGTCATCGTATTGTGTTCAGTCCCTGACACACCTTCCGACCAGAGAAATCTGATCACTACTCTTTGTTCCTCCTTGGTGTACACTGCCAGTGACGCGGCCATGTTTACACTGTAACAACAGCAAGAAAACTGGCGTGATCGAGCTCAAACTTCGATCGCGTGACCACAAGAGTGCCAACTATAAGCACACATGAGCGGAAGGCAGTTTGAAGAGCTTAAAGGTTTAGTATGGCTAAAGTAGGGATTATTTTTTTTTTTACTTATCCTCGTAATTGACAAAAGTCTCAACAAAGCTTATTGGTATAACACATTGTCACACCGACTTTCGTACAATCACAGAAGTTAAACAACGTCGAGCCTGGTAACCATCGGACAATTTCGAACTGAATCATTTATTTAATCTACAAATGATTTCAGCATGTGTGCCATCATTTTAAAAAGAGAGAGAAATCGCAGCAAAGATTCAATATCAGCAACAGTAAGAACAAAAGCCCCGGCGAATGTAGTAAAGCGTGACAAGCAATAGTGTCAACAGCAGACAGATTATATTTAACACTCAAGACTGTCCCACGAGACAATAGCCTGAGGATTACACCATTGTTTCGCGAATTTGGCGCTATAGTAGTTGTGAGTGAGCCTTGTAGTGCAGACTTAGACTCATGGAATCATTTCACACCACGTAAGGCAATAAAGCCACTAAAACGTCAGGGGTTTGCTTAGTGTTAGAGAATATGAGATAAATACAGTATTAAGGAGCGAAGGCAATAAAAGCACAAGAATTAAGAAGACAGAATATAATAATTGACATTACGTTTAAATAGAACAAAGCTGGCAGGGAATCTAGAAGCGAGAAGTGCAATAGAAGAAACTGTTAACATAGAACTTACGGTTACATCTAGCCATTACAACTGTAAAAAGATGAGACATTGCCGCTAATCTAGTACTGAGCTTCAATTCATAAAGTCTAAGTACCATAGCAGAAAGTGATATTTATTTGCATGATTATACAAAATGTGGCACAAGGTCAAAAGGGGGATTGGGGGGGGAGAACGGTCTTCTTCTGTTTTAACTTTAAACTTAGCTAGCCACAAACACTGACCCAAACATACAAACAATATTCCTAACACCAAAACAACACATTCTTACTCACCTTTCTTACAGCATTCACCATAATACCTCACTGTCTCTATGAAAGTCTTAACTAATCCCCATATGTACAATTTATTGTCTGTGTGTGTTGTGGAAATAACAATTTAAAAATCTAAACCACAATTAAAAATTCATCAGAACCATTACCATGAAAGTATTTATAGAAAAGGCATAAGAAAGGAACGTTACGGCGGTGAGAAAGTGACTGAAGCCGAGATGCCAGGTCAGGATCAATAACATAGCTGATTCTTTGGATTTTGTCAAGAATCTCTAAATATATAGCAGGGCCAGATATGGTAGCACTATTCAAAGCACCGACAAATTTGAGATTGAAATCTGTTTTTATTACATATAAAGTTGCATATTCGTCAGGCTTCTACAAATTTTTATCCGATTTTTTCTCATCAGGGAAAGATATTTTATTTTTAAAATGCACTTTAAAACTTAGGTATCGCTTTTATTTTCTATTCTATCTATCTATCTATCTATCTATCTATCTATCTATCTATCTATCTATCTATCTATCGGAGCTTGTTCATCTCTCTCTCTCTCTATATATATATATATATATATATATATATATATATATATCTATCTATCGCAGCCTATTGATATCTATGTCAAATTCTTCATATCTATCTATCATACTTGTTCATATCTCTCTCTCTCTCTCTATATATATATATATATATATATATATCGCAGCCTGTTCATATCTATCTATCGCAGCCTATTGATATCTATGTCAAATTCTTCATATCTATCTATCTATCTATCTATCTATCTATCTATCTATCTATCTATCTATCTATCTATCTATCTCAGTCTGTTCTTATCTATCCCAGTATCTTCTTATCTATCTATCTATCTATCTATCTATCTATCTATCTATCTATCTATCTATCTATCTACCACTCTCTTTTTTATCACACATAAAGTTGCATATTGGCCAGGTTTCTACAAATCTTTATTCGATTTATTTTTCATCGGGGAAAGAATTTTATTTTAAAATGCATTTTAAAACTTATTTATTACTTTTATTTTATTTTTTCTTTGGGGATACCTAAATTGTTAATTATTTAGGAGATAAAATGATCGCCTGATAACATACACGCTTCGATAATGACCTAGCCAGTGTTGAAACTAAAACGACGGTCAACCTCTTCATGCAATGTGGTTTATTGTGGTTGTTGAACCGTCAATGTGGTTTTCACAGCTATGTTCTTGAAAGTGATTAAGATTTATTGTGTAGTCCCTATCTATTTGTGGAAATGACGAAATATCTCGCGAGGATTGTTTGCTCAATTGTTGGTGAAAACAAATAATGAAAGAATAAATAAATAAATAAATAAATAAATAGAGATCAGAACGGAAGTTCACAAGAGAACAGGTAAGGTTTTATTTTTAAATCGAAAACAAAAATAGTTGTTTTGATCAATAAAAAGACATCAAGTCTGTAAGAATCTGAATATCTATCTATCTATCTATCTATCTATCTATTGCAGGCTATTCATATCTATCTATCTATCTATCTATCTATCTATTGCAGGCTATTCATATCTATCTATCTATCTATCTATCTATCTATCTATCTAAAATTGTTCATATCTATCTAAAATTGTTCATCTATCTATCTATCTATCTATTGCAGGCTTCTATCTATCTATCTATTCTATCTATCTATCTAAAATTGTCTATCTATCTATCTATTCTATCTATCTATCTATCTATCTATCTATCTATCGCAGGCTATTTATATCTATCTATCTATCTATCTATCTATCTATCTATGCTGGCTATTTATATCTATCTATCTATCTATCTATCTATCTATCTATCTATCTATTCATATCTATCTATCTATCTATCTATTCTATCTATCTATCTATCTATCTATCTATCTATCTATCGCAGGCTATTTATATCTATCTATCTATCTATTGCAGGCTATTTATATCTATCTATCTATCTATCTATCTATCTATCTATCTATCTATCTATCTATTGCAGCCTGTTCATATCTATCTATCTATCTATTTATCTATCATACGTTCAGTTTACACTAGAATAAAATTTGGCATAGGTCCAGCTTACACTCGGATCAAAACGGTAGACATTGGTTCAGTTTATACTAGAATAAAAAGGTAGATAAATATATGGGTGACACGAGAGTTAAATTATCGACATTAGTCACAATGACTTCATAGAAATTTGAAGACATAGAAACTAGAGTAAAAATAAGGCATAGGTTCGCTTTATATCTGAATCAAAAAATTAAACACAAACCCGTTTTATACCCGAATTTGCATGTATCCACCCGGGGATCTTTTTGTGGGGATCTCACCACTCTACTTGTTTCGACTTTGAAGAACTCTCAAAGGGTTGTTTGCCGTAAGAATACAAATCAGTCAATATTCCATCCCTCCATTTACTGTTTGGTCTTTTTCTATTAGGCGAACCAGCCTTATACTCCATCTGTGATCATTTCTCTTTGCTATGTGTCCCTCAGTTTCCTAATTTAATCAATGCGTTGGCCTGTTCTTTGATTCACGTTCATTTCTTTCTGTCTCTTCCCAAGTGTTTTCCCAATCACTGTTCTCAATCACAGATGTTTGTACGTTTCGAAATTCGTCATCAATGTGAATTTGTTAAGGTAAAATTGCAGATTAGGACCCAGAACCTAATTAAAAAATAACAAACATCATTTCTGGTATGAAAAAAAAAAAGCCTGAATACTTCTAAAATAGCATTAAAAAATTGCAGAAGCCTATCTTTTACGAGATACTGACAATCTTATTTGGGTTTTATTTGTGTCTCAGTTACAACGCCGCCGACATTACTGGCCTTGATTACTGCGCTAAAAGATTTGTAGATAATGACCCAGTGACCAATTTAAATAAAAAGCACCTTTCCTAGTGTAAAAAAAAAAGAAAAAAAAGAAGCCTGATTATTCCAAAAATAGCATTAAAATTTGTGGAGATCTACCTGGGCCCCGGGTACAGCACAGCTGCCCTTACTGGTCTAGATTACTGTCTGCTGACGTCGATTACTGCGCGAAATTTTAAAGACAAAAATTGATTTTATTTCTTTTCATTATTCAGTAAATGAGTAACTTTCGCGGATCCACCGAGGCTTGCGCGCCGCAATCAAGACACGTGATCGTATGAAAACCGGTGTTTCAACCTGATATGGCCGTAAGCCAATTATTCCAACCGCACAAGCAAACTTACAGTATCTGGTATTTCCAAGCGGTCACCCATCTAAGTACTGACCAGGCTCGACGTTGCTTAACCGGTGTTTCAACGTGATATAGCCGTAAGCCCATTATTCCGACCACACATCCAACCTGGCATTCACCTGGTATATCAAACCTGGTATTCCCAAGCGGTCACCCATCTAGGTACTGACCAGGTTCGACGTTGCTTAACTTTGGTGATTGTAGGAGAACCGGTGTTTCAACGTGATATGGCCGTAAGCCAATTATTCCAACCACACAACCAAACTTACAGTATCTGGAATTACCAAGCGGTTACCCATCTAAGTACTGACCAGGCTCGATGTTGCTTAACTTCTATGATCATACGGGAACCGGTGTTTCTACGTGCTATGGCCGTAAGCCAATTATTCCAACCACACAACCAAACTTACAGTATCTGGTATTTCCAAGCGGTCACACATCTAAGTACTGACCAGGCTCGACGTCTCTTAACTTCGGTGATCATACGGGAACCGGTGCTTCAACGTGATATAGCCGTAAGCCCATGGTATTCACCTGGTATATCCAACCTGGTATGTACCTGGTATTCCCAAGCGGTCACCCATCTAGGTACTGACCAGGCTCGACGTTGCTTAACTTCGGTGATTGTAGGAGAACCGGTGTTTCAACGTGATATGGCCGTAAGCTTCTCAAAAAACGCGGAAATCGCGAACGGATTTATTTGACAACCAATAATGTCGGCCGGGTTTCCAATCCAGACACAAATAAGACCAAAGTAAAATTGTCAATTATCTGCTAAACGCTGGGCTTCCATAAATTTTGAAAGGAATAATCAGCCTTTTTTTTTTAATTATTTCTGGGACTTAATCTGCAATTTTGCCTAAGTTAATTTCCATGTTTCGCATCCATACATCAGAATTGGCATCATACAATGACTATACTTCCTATGTTTTAAGTTAGCAACATGCTTTGCATTTGGTTTCTAAGTAATTTTATTCCTGGAACTCGTCTATTGGTGTGTCAGATGAATTCGTTCGGTCGGGTTTTGTGGGGTTTCGTTTCTTTTAATACTAATATTCTTCATCGACAATTTCAACAAATCGTGCGAAGGTGACGGGTGACGATATTAGGAATGCATCTGCTTGAGCAATTCCTTAGTGGACTGGCGTAGATCCACATCAATGAGCACGTTTAATAGGACCTCATTAAACAGAACAGGTCAACTGGAACGGGGGAGAGTCTGTGAGGTCGTTCGCCTTCTTAAGGCGTAAAATCCATTCCTGTGCAGTTTTTTCTTTTAACACCGTCTTCTCCATTCCCAGTAAATGTCTCGAACAGATTTGGCAGCTTTGGAACCGTGACTGGAATCGAAGAGAACGGTAATGTTAATATCAGCCGTTTCCCTACAAGAAAACATTCGGCATTCCTGGATCCAGCAATGTAGCTGTTATCGCACTGATGGCGGTTTCCTTCCTAACCTTATATTTAAAGTGGTGTGGAATGCCAACATCTTGATTATGTCGTTATTTTCACTTTGAGTTACATATGCTATTCATTTTAGTTGTTGCTGTTGTTGGTAGTCCTCAAGTGATGTGGTTTCTGTTATTTGGTACAGTTCTTTGAATTTCTGTAACGCCAGTCCACAATATTCAAAGAGAGGTGGCCTTTGCCAGAATCCATAGTCTTCACTTGCTCAAAGACTTTTTCCATCTTTGATCTCAGAAAGCGGTTTTATACAGCTGATAGTTTTGATATTTCTGAACGGCTTTGGCGCCATGCATTCAAACCAAATGAAAGACTTGATCTAGCGAGGCTATTTAAGAGCATGACTCGAGTTTTCATGTTGATGTTTTGGTTTTGTAGCAATTTGCGGTATTGTGTGAAACTACCTCTGTCATAGCCTATTCTATGTTTAATTTCTTTTTCTCTTATACTTAATTCGTTATAACTTATCTATACGCCGAGGTATCTGAAGTGTTTAGTAGGGACTAATTCCACATCCTGAGTTTTTATGAAGGATTTAAGAGAGGGGTCATCACTGCTTTCATTCCAATTCAGGATCACAGTTTTTGGTTTGGAAAAGTTTATCTTGAGCCCCATTTCTTGGAAGGTGTTAAAAATGCTCATTTTTCCCCACTTAGCACTCCGTCATAGGTTTGAAATAGATAAAATTCAATTAAATGTTAATAAACAAAAGTTGTAGAAGAAGAAAAAGCTAAAAACACCCCCTGAAAAAAAAAAAAACAAAAAAAAAACACACCACTCGATCATTACGTCCATAGAAAAGGTTCAGACGAACTGCATTCCTTAGTTCTACGGGTTCTAGCCTTCACGGTTGACCCGATATGACGTGCCACATAAATTGTTGTGACGCCCTCATTCCCTTCGCATCCCACTGGGGAGAAGTAAATTCCCAAGAAACGATGCTTTGTGAAATCGACTCCCAAGAGGATGCTTCCCTGATTTCTGCACTCTTTGCATGTTCAAGTCTAGGGTTAACCGTTATCTTCCCAACGCATCCTCATAAACTGTGTCTCTTACCTCTTGCACTGTAACCCTCTATCTCGTGTGGCTCTTGGACCTTGTACAGGGGAACATTATTGCTATATAAATATATATATATATATATATATATATATATATATATATATATATATATATATATGTGTGTGTGTGGGGTGTGTGTGTGTGTGTGTGTGTGTGTGGGGAGAAAAGAGAAAGGATTGTGTCTCACAAAAATAAAATGCAATCATGTCATTTTTGGAAGATAACATTTTTAAGACAAACTGTTTAAATTGAAGAAAGACTGAGCAAAATAAAAAAAAAATAATTTCTTAAAATAAATTCGATTTTACAAATATCCGTGAAACACAGAGTAGAGGCAAGATAAATGAACATTTTATTACTGTATACAGTGGGCTATGATAAGATTTTAGCCACCCTTGATTAGAGCAATTTGGGCTTGCCTCTTCTTTTTTCAGTCAATACCGTGTTAGTATCAAGCTACTCTCACCTATGAACAATAGTTGAGTTATATTTTGCAATGAAAGTTCGTGGAAGTAAGGAAATTAGTGAATTTCAACAAGGGCAAATAATAGGATGGCATCAGTGTGGCAAGTCAAATAGAGAATTTGCTAGGTTTTTCCAGGTTAATCATTAAAAGGTTAATAATATTGTCAAGAAATTTAATGAAGAAGGCCATTGTCGTGTGGAACAACGTCCAGGAAGACCAAGCATCGTGTCTGAGCGAAAGAAAAGGGCACTGAATAGGGAAGTCATCAGAAACCGTCGTCAGAGCGTCAAAGATGTCGCCAACAGTATAAAAATGTCACCATATGCGGTGAGAAGGACTCTGAAAGAGCTAGGCTATCAAAGAAAAGTTGCAAGAAAGAAGCCCTTGATTTCAGAGATTAACAGGAACAGGCGTATGGACTGGGCGAGAGAATTTGAGAGCAAAGATTATGAATTTTGGCAGTTCGTAATTTGGTCAGATGAAAGGAAATTCTTCCAATATTCGAATTCGAGACGGGTTTATGTTTGGAGAAATCAGAATGAGACTTGGAACAGTGAATGTCTGCAGGCGATCGTGAAACATGGAGAGATTGGAGTAATGGTGTGGGGCGCTGTCTAGTTTGGAAGGAAATCTGAACTGATTCTTGTTGACGAGCGGTTGAATGGTCCAAAATACTGTCAAATATTAGTGAAAGGAATACTCCCAATATTTGAAACCAATCAGATTGACAGGAATGTCTACCTTTGTCAAGAAGATGGCACGCCATGTCATACGAGCAAAGTAGCAAAGGCCTGAAAGGAATCGCAAGGAATCAAGTCACTGCTATGGGTATCCCAAAATCCTGATATGAATCTAATAGAGCACATTTGGGAGCACTTTAACCGAAAGCTTCGGGAGCGTGCAACCAAAATGACGTCAGTGGCAACCCTTAAAGAAACATTGCCAAAGGAGTGGCAAAATATGGATCAGACGATTATTGATAACCTGATCAAATCCATGAAAAATTGAGTACAAGCACTGAAACTAGCAAATGGAAGACCTACTCCATACTAGTTCCAAATACTGTTTATTTTATGTTGAATAGGGATTACGTAATCAAATGTTGAAATTGGATGTAGTTTATTTTTCCTGGCTAAAAACCTTTCTTAGGCCACTATAAAACATTTTTGTCAGATAATTTTACGATACATTGGATTATTTAAAGTAGTTTCCTCATCTCAGTTACTGGCCCGTTCCATCTATTGTATCAGCGACCTTTGGCCTTTTTGAGGTACCTCTTATATTTTGGTAACCTTCAAGTAAATCCAGAGACAAGTCACTTGTTTAGAACTATTTTGGCCCGTAGCATGAAAATGTTGCATCGAATGGGAGATGAAAACAATTTTTTTTTTATTCTTTGCCTTTTTGTATATTTACAAATCAGGTAGTAAGTAATGGTGACAAGGTGTGGGGTGGGGAGATGGTGCAGGTTGTTTCGCAAATTCTTTTGTTCTGACTCAACCACTTGCACTCGTTATATTAACGTGCAGGGCAACCACAAGATATTGCGAAGGTGCGATTGCAGGCTGACTTAGCAAAAAAAAAAAAAAAAAAAAAGAAGAGGATTAGAGAGAGAGAGGGGGGGAAGAAAGCTAGAGAGAGATATAAAGAGAAAGACGATTAGAGAGAGAGCTGGAGAGAGGGGATTAGAAAAGAGAAGAGAGAAAGATTAGAGAGGGATTAGAGAGAGCTGGAGATATAGAGAGGATTAGAGAGAGAGCTAAAGAGAAAGATAGCTGTAGAGAGAAGGGGATTAGAGAGAGAGAGAGAGAGCTGGAGAGTGGAATTAGAGAGAGAGAGCTAGAGAGAGAAAGAGAGCCATATATATATAGAGAGAGGGAAATAGAGAGAGAGAGCTAGAGAGAGAGGGATTAGAGAGATATACAGAGAGAGAGAGAGGATTAGAGAGAGAGCTAGAGATAGAAAGAGAGCTATAGAGAGAGGATTAGAGAGAGAGCGGGATTAGAGAGAAAGCTAGAGAAAGAGAGCTATAGAGAGAGGGATTAGAGAGATAGCTATAGAGAGAGAGAGAGAGGGATTAGAGAGAGAGAAGGATTAGAGTGAGATACAGAGAGAGGATTAGAGAGAGAGGATTAGAGAGAGAGAGAGAGCTAGAGAGAAAGAGGTATTAGAGAGAAAGCTAGAGAGAGAAAGAGAGCTATAAAGAGAGGGATTGGAGAGAGTGCGCGCTAGAGAGAGCGAGGGATTAGAGAGAACTAAAGAGAAAGAGAGAGAGTACGAAATCGCGGGATTAGAGAGAGAGAGAGACAGAGAGAGAGAGAGAGAGAGAGAGAGAGAGAGAGAGTGTGTGTGCCTGCATGTTTCCTTCGGTAAAAGTTTGATTAGTGTTTAGGTTTTCCTTGATGCCACCAGCAACGTCGCTGCTGAAAAAAAAAAAAAAGAAACCACCTAAATGTTTTTTTTTTTATGATAACAGCTGGTGAAAGTATATTCTCTTGGGGAAATGCCAATCTGGGCTGAATTGTAATAGCCAGACAAGAGAGAGAGAGAGAGAGAGAGAGAGAGAGAGAGAGAGATAGAGAGAGAGAAAAGATGGTGGGAGATAGGAAGGGGGAGACGACAAAAATAAGGAAGCAGAAAACAACCGAAAATATGTATTCTTCAGGTGTGAAATCCTGCAGAAACAAGGTCATAAAAAAACAAAACAAAAAACAAACAAACAAAAAGAAGCAGTTCTACTTTTGTATCTAGAGTTTCTTGACAAAGAAGAATATGCAATATTATCAGTCCAGATCTGGCATGTCGGCTTCAGTCACTTGAAAGCCCGCTGCAGTAACGTGGCTTCCCTCAGCCTTTTCTATAAGTATTTTCATGGTAAGTGTTCTGTTAAGCTTTCCTCTGATACCTCTCTTGAATTTACGCTCAGTACTAGACTCACGTGCGATGTGATGTCATGGATCACGTCTCGAAACGAGAAAATCGAAAAAAAAAAAACGGAGTTCGAATTCCAGTCGAGTTCGTTGCATTCACTTACGTGCAAATATCCTTGAGTTTGTCTATATTTCTGAGATGAGGTATTATGTACAGTATTTACATTAGTAGGACTATTATCGCCATATTTGTCACAACGTTTCGGCCGTTGTACGCTCCGGCCTTCTTCAGGTGGTTGGAATTTCGAGCTGAACCCTTTATTTCGATCGCTGGGGTAGACTGTTCTAGTTCCACGTGCCATGTTTGATGGATGTCAGTTATCAGTTATCTCCTGCTAATTTTCCCTCTGAAAGTTCTCCACTGCCTTAACCAGGAATTGAACTCACCTTCTTTGGGTCTGTCACTGGATCTAACCAACGCCTTTATCCACTGTGCCATGTGTCCTTGAGGACATCTGGGTATGAACTTCTGAGTATTATAAACCTAATGTTTTCAGCATCATTTTTACCAGTGCTTATATTGCAATTTTTGCTGTTATCATTGCATGTCTTTACCAGAGTTCATATTGCAACTTTGTTATCATTGCTTTTCTCTGGCACTCCTTATTACTGGTTCCCATATTGTATTTATTTCTATGCTTGGTCGGCACGTGGAATTAGAACAGTCTACCCCAGCGATCGAAATAAAGGGTTCAGTTCGAAATTCCAACCACCTGAAGAAGGCCGGAGCGTACAACGGCCGAAACGTTGTGACAAATATGGCGACAAAGATGAGGACAATAGTCCGACTAATGTAAATCCTTGAGTTTACCTCTTCTTTCTGGTTGAATAGCAGGCAGACTGGACCCTACATCGTTGGTTGGTAAGAAAACCTCAGTTTTTCTATCGCAGAAAGAAACGGCGGGCTACTGCAGGAAATCTGCGTAGCCTGTCATGAATCGAAAGAGACATAATCGCCCAAGCGCGAATCACGTATGACACTTGACTTTTTGTTTAGACTAGATTGGCACTTAGGTTACATCTGGCAATTCCAGCAGTAAAATGGTAACACCTAAGTTCTATACTAATAGTTTCTTTTCTCGCACCTCTGGCCTGTGGAAGTCTCTTCCGATTTCTTGTTTTCCTGTCAACTACGATCTTCAAAACATTAAATGCAACGTCAATCGTCACCTTCCGTTTTTGCGATATATCCGTTCTTTTATTCTCTCTCCTTAATAACATTTTTTTTCGGTTTCTTTCGTTGGTCGTGTTTAGTCTGGATCCTCGTCTTCGACCTTGTCGCCAAGAATGGCTCTACCAGGAGTTTAGAGCTCCTGCCAGCATCGTCCTCGGAGTCATTGGGTCATGCAATCCCTTCTACCACAACAAAGAGTGACAATATAGAAACATGCATGCATAAGCACAAACATATTTTACACTGGATGTTGGAGTAAAGTTCGTCATCACTTACGAAATCTGACTTCAAATGCCAAGTTCATAATAGCCAACTTAGACAATAAAAAAATTGATGAGTCGATTCATAGCCCCAACTGACATCCTAACAATGTTTTCGCACTAAAATTATAACTGCTAATAAATTTATTGTTGGTACAAGATAACTCGTGGTTGGTTATTTTTATTGACATCGAGTATGAGTTCTCGTGCTTGACAGTGTGGGGTTCAGCGTACCTGGATTAAAGGAGAATTTAATACGGGATACTCGCCCACAAAAACAACGCAAATCTCAAGAAGAAACAACACGATAAGGAACGTTTATAAAAAATAGAACATTGTATATTTATTATCTTGTGAATAGGGTAAAAAAGTTTAATGTTTTAGTTCGTTTAAGCAAAAATGTGATTTTGATCAAAATGTCTGTGTTCGTTGTCTTTTAACAGAGTAGCAGAGTAAAGTTTATTTGTATAGTTGCAATTGCAAAAGGGGCGAGCAATTTAAGTTGAAAAAAGAGAGTGTGAATGAGGAATAAAGATAAAAGGAAAATGTACTTATGAATTGTTTTGGAGTCAGTTGTAAATTTGTTGTTGTTGTTGTTGTTGTCCTTTCCTAATCCCCTTTCGGGTTGAGTCAGTGATGGAATTTACTGTCAATCTTCTGTGATCTTTGCGCCCTTCTCTGACTGACGATATTCAGTCACCACCCCCACGAGGGTGTCATGTGGCACAAGGCCTTTTTAACGTGGGCAATTCCCAAGCCATTAGGCTCGGCCAAAAAATAGCCCATTTGAACCCGTATAAACGGGTTCAGGGCCGGTTTTACCTCCCCGAAGGAGACTCCGCCCTTCGGCGTAGCCTCCTTCAGGTTCCTCCCGCCCGTCGGAAGAGAGTTTAACCGAACAGTCGGTTCAGAGGTGAACGACTGACTGACCTTCTCCGACTGACTGGCGACTGACTTAAAAATTTTGTATTTATTGTTGACTTTTTTTTCACACTGGCTCGTTATCTTTCTTTTTTTGGTTTAGCAAATCGCCTCCTTTCATTGGTCAGAAAATTAATTTCACACCTTATTGTGAAATCTGTTTTTGGTCGTTTTGATCCGATTTTGCGGGTGTGCAAATCTACTTTGTGTTTTTTTAGTCATTTGTTGGAATATAGGATTTGTATCCTATAACAGTCAGTGTGTTAATACATTTAAATGTACCAATTATTAGGGGACAGAAATAATATAATTTAATACTCCCTCTGTTCTAGAATAGTTGTTACTTTTGAATTCACATTTCATAAATGTACAGGATGTTTGGAAAGTTACGGTGCATTTTTCTTATATCTTTTATATTTCAGATTTCACGCCAGTATTGTTTAAACGGTGCCTTGCATGATGGTCTTGTAAGTCACCATTGAAGGTGCACGTAGGAGATGACGCCAACATAAAAACAAAAAAACTGGTTGGACACTGTCAAACAATGGACGAGTATGACGATATACCAGAATTGCTGATAGTTGCCGTTAGTAGAGACCATTGTGAAGGAAATTCAATACAGCTTCTACATTCAGATACCATTATGATTACAAAAGTTAAGGGCATGATGATGATGATTGTTTTAATAACTGAAGTTTGCGTATTCCTCATCGAACATGTACCGTTATATACTAGCGGATAGAATATAGCGACAGTGTTACCAATATTTAACTTTGGCTAGGAAAGGTGGGATTAAGGACAATGCGTGGACGCAATGTAATTTATATTTGACGTAAATAGCATATAGTATAAAATAAAAAACTGAACGGAATGATTTCAAAACATAACAATTAAATTTATTAATATTTGATATACATGCATGTGAACTGAAAAGGTAGGACAGAGTCGTGTCCCTTTGATTAGGTAATAGTTGTACCTGAGTTCATATTAAGAGGAAGTAATATTAAACTGTAATTTAGAAGAATAAAGTTTCTTTAGCATGTATGGAATTGTGAGTTGTAAAGTTGGTAAAAGTTCAGAAGAGATTTCAGAGTTCGTACTTGCGTGAATGTTAGTAATGGTCTTTAACGTCTGACCGCAATGGCTAAGACGGGAGTTCTTGAAAATTACACCTTGGTACTTGGTAGCAAGAAATGAGACGAATGAAAAGAAACTGTTGGAGATTTCTGACAGTTTGCAGCAGAATCCAAGAAAATCATTACGAAAAGTTAGCACAGAAGAAAGATGGTAGGGGTAAATTTTTTTTTTTTTTTGTAATTAAATTTTATTTGCCTAAATAAAACAGTTTTCCTTAAATATCAATTTTTAATGGTGACTAACAAAAAACTTTGATGACATTCAAATATCCTCAGGTGCAAAAACAAAACTCAATCCACAGATAAAGTAGCTGAATTAATCGGACAGAAATTTAAAAACAAAATATTTGTCATATATGTAATAAATACTTTTTATCTTAAAAAAAAAAAAAAAAAAAAAAAAGAAGTTCAGTGAGGTTTAAAAAATATCTTTTCAAATCCTATTTGTTCTGTGTATTTTATTCAAAGGAAATTGTGGGGGAAAAGACACTACAGTAAAGTTTGACGTAGGACCAGGCTTCATAAAAAAAAAAGAAAAGAAAAGAAAAGGAAAAAAAAAAGGTGTGTCAAGAAGTCATTTTTCTCTTGACACTGATTATCTTAAACGATAATTTTTATTGTTCTGAAAATTTATTATAGAATTTTAACAAAACCGTAACATATGAAACAGAATAGTGAACTGAAGCACCTCACCCTCCGAAAAGAGTTATGGGTAATTCAAAAAAGAAAAAAAAAGGTTAAATTTAGTTACATATGTTATAGTTTTATTAAAAATCTAAAAATTGCTTTTTAAAACGAAAAAAAAAAATACCATGAGAGGTATTTAAAAAAAAAAAAAAAATTTAAAACAAAACTCAAAAATTTTTTTTTCATAGTTATGGTAAATTACAGGTAATCTAGAAAATAAACAATTAGATTTATTGTAAACTTGGACCTTCATATCTGAAAAAAAAAATGGAGTGTCAAAAAAGGTGGTTTTTATATTGACACTGCTATTCATCTAACTCCCTCTGCTCGGCAATGTTTGTTGTTTCGAAAGATGATGATTAGAATTGCAATAAAACCAAAACATATAAAAAGTGAATTTATACATGTTCGTTGTTCTTGAGAAATGGCAAGAAAATTGATAAATACAACTTATTATATTGTTTATTGGAATGGCTGGCGAAACATTGATTAATTGCAAATCTACTTATTTTAACTACCTTCACTCCTCGACAATGTTTATTGTTTTAAAAAGCAATTGTAGTGATTACTACTATGTTGCCACGTCTACATTTTTCTCAACTGTGATTGGTCAAATAATAAATACTAAATATCACAGGACAATTTACTGATCGCATTCACCACACTGAATTTTTCCTACCGTTAACTCACAAACATGCTTTTGTTATAAAATCACCGATTGGTTAATTTTTCATCCAATCAGATATTTTTTGTGTTCTTTCAAAATTTATCCCGCTTTTTTCCTGGGAGCCACCGATAGTAATACCCATCACCAATCACCATCAGTTCTCTGTGAACAAGTCAAGTTGCAACAACTCTGTTAGTTACAAAACACACAACTGTACGATCTTCTGGATATACATTCTATTTTAACACAGAACTCTGAACATTATATTCAGAAAACTTGCTTATTTAAATATCACCATATTCAACTAACAGATAAAGGGAAACTACTTTTTTCTCCTTATTTACACATTACAAAAATTACCTTGTATTTGTTGTTGATTTTATCGTTGAAACACAAATCGGTTTTCCATTGTTTTTAAAAAATGTATAAATGTTAAATGCTCTTCAACACGCAGCCACATTAATCTTTTCAACAGAACACCATTTACATTGGTAACCCCAACACTTAGGAAAGCAGCATTTACAAACGCCCTCTGCTTGGCAATGTTTGTTGTTTCGAAAGACGATTATTAGAATTGCAATAAAACCTAAACGCATAAAAGTGAATTTATGCATGTTCGTTGTTCTTGAGAACAGGCAAGAAAGTTGATAAACACTACTTATTATATTGTTTATTGGAATGGCTAGTGAAACATCGACTAATTGCCAATCTATTTAACTACCTTCACTCCTCGACAATGTTTATATTTCTTAGTTCTTGAGAATTTACAACATAAAACACTTATTTATTTACAAGAATGATTTTATACTTACAACATCCTAAAACCTAATACGATTAAAACTAATGCAATATAATTTACCAATAAAGAAATAAATGTTAATTTTTTTGTATTGATAAATATTTACAAAATTATTAAAAGATGTGAACCAATTATAAAGAAATCAATATTTACTATTTTATAAAGTTCGAATCAATTAGCCAATGTTTTGTCATCCATTCCAATAATCTAATTTAATAAATAGTGTAAACAAACAAATCATGAGAAAAAGAAATGTATAAATTCAATTTCATGTTATGGTCTTATTAAAATTCTAAAAACATTTTTTTCAAATAATAAATATTATCAAGTCTTTATTCAAAATTTTTTTTTCAATTGATCCTAAGTTAAACTTTGCCATTTACACTTATTTCCATTTGTGAACTTTCAAAAAATATTACCATTTTTTTTTTTTTTTTTTTTTATTTGCATACAGACAAGGGATAATTTTATTTGTAAAAAAAAAAAAAAAAAAAATGTTGAAAGCACTTATTAAGAATTGAACTCCTTGTTTACACCAAATGAGATAAGTTAACCAGCACGTAAATCAAACAAGGGTTCCATAAACTATTACCATTGCTTTTTTGATCTCCAGGACTAAAGATCCCAGTGTAGACTGGATCATTTCAATTTGGCACACTGGTTCCACTTTCTCACTAATGTGATTTACTTTCTACAATTTTTTCCGAGATTCATAGCTAAAGAATCTGACATTTTTTAATACCAGGCGTGCACAACTTCTTTAAATTTTTCAAAACAAGCGATGCTTTTTTTTTTTGGTCCACCAGATGTTTTGTGGAAACCTTTAGTCTTGGTATCTAATTCTTTTCATTCCCTATAGCTGCATCTCAACCCCAATAAGCCTACTGCACCCTAATGGTTAGCCAACTCTGTCCCAAGTTAATTGAAGAGTAATTTACAAATTATTTTTATATTAAAAAAAATAAAATAAATAAACAAAAAGAGACACCAAGCACATGGCTTCTATGTCTCAGTCAATATCTTGTCATTTGACATTTTAATCTGGGTGCTAAATTTCTTAATCTTTAAGGGATAATCTTTTCTTTTTGGTTTCAAAAGAGATTTAAAGTCATTATTGGCATCTCTAAAAAAAAAAAAAAAAAAAAAAAAAAAATCTTTATAAAATCTTTTTTGAAAACTCAAACCAAACGATTGAAGTTAATTTTCTTCTTTGCCGAATCCACATGAGGCATGAGTTTCAAACAGGCGTACTTAAATATACAATGTAATATCTCTAAAATAAATGCTTATTATTCCATGTCATGAAATTTTCCTTATTAAAATTTAAAGTGCACATCAGAGCTTTAGTTATTCTACAAGTGCACCATTAAGTAAAAAGTTTTAGTAACACTTCTCAATTGTAAAAAAAGTTTTTGCTATCCACACTCATTCATATTGAAAATCCTGTCCAGTCGTTTCATCCAGAATAGATTTAAATTCAGGTTTTTAATAGAATGTGAAGGAACACTTTAACTCTCACATATGAAAACAAGTGGGTAAGGTCCACAGAGAGCAGGCATTTCCCTCTCTTTTTTTTAAAAAAAATTTGTGAAATGAAATGGAGTTGAGAAAACCTCTTATATTTCGATGGTCATTGTTGCAGTTACACAAAACTGAAAAAGCAGTCATCTTTTTCAATGCAGTTCTGTTATATTATTATAGACTTGGTAAAAAAAAAAAAAAAAGTTATTGGTCGGCACTGCATCTCAGCCGAGATCAAAGTGTAGCATCTGTTCTTAGTTTAATTCTGATTTCTCTAAATTTCTCACTGAAACCTAGTCATGCCCCCCCCCCAGATCCAAACAGAATAGTCCATTATGTTTCTGCTGACTAACAAAGGGAGGAACAAGGATCATCATTATGTAACTAAAAACCCTTTTGCCTAACCATTACTAAACAGATAAGGCACAATTTGTGCCCTTCATTAAGGCATGACTCTTTTCCAAGCCTGCTTTCCTCATTGTGCCTTAGAATTCTAAGTATGAGAGTCCTTTGTGCTTACATTTTCCTTAGAACTTCCTTGTTACTCACCTGTTCAGACTATTATATTCTTATCATCTGTAGAGCCACATTACTATTGATTCAAGTATTCTCTTTATCTGCAAGAATATTGTTGAACATTTGTTGCCATATAGGAGGGCTGATGTTATACAGCAGAGCAGTACGCTTTGTTTATAACAAAATCTTGTTTCTTAATACTTTGCTGAGTTTTGGAAAGCGTCTCTCACTATTCCAATCAACCATCGGATTTCAGGGTTGCATTTTCGGTCCTCTGTTAAAACCAGATATTGCTTTAGATTTAAATTTTTGTGCTTGCTTGATTTTGGCAAAACCAGACAATTTCATCATTAGAGGAGAAAGCCACTTGGCTTTTCTCCGACAACACAAAACTTTCTTCCAAGAAGAAATAACAAGCGCAAACATCAATATTGTTTTAATTTAGAAATATCCAACCATAATTACATACACGACATTCATATTTGATTCTTACCATTGTATAGACAGTCTGAGAAATGAGAAAAAAAAAAAATTATTAACAACAGTAGAAAAGTGAGCAAATATATACAGAGATGGACGATGATTCCTTGTTGTTTCAAGAAAAAAAAAAAAAAAAAAAGTATTCTTTGGTGAGTCCTTAATGTCTGACAACTGACTGTTTTTCTTTTCTGTTTATTTTATTGCAGGTGAAGAGGACTTCAGAACACTTATTGCTTTTTATTTTATTTTTTTTAAATTTAGGGTGTGGCAAAAACCCCTTCACAGTCTTTGGCGTTAAGGCCCTGCCTCATAGGTCCTCTTCTGATATTCGCCAGTTTCTGCTAATGGACACTCGATCCGATTTTCCCACCTTAATTGGCATGATTGCGTGATAGAATTTGGTCACTGCAGTTTCGAGCGTCTGCGATAAAGTTGTGTCCTCACAAGTCACTTCCTAGAGAGGAAAAAAAAAAAAGAAAATTAGAAAGAACATGCACACATTTTTCATTAAATAACAGATGAAATAGAGAAATGAACATTGCATTATCAATACTTTTTTGTTTTTTTTACACTTATAAACAGAATTTTTCATATCCATTCTTGAATAAATCATTACAAGTTGATGAGTGATTTATTTCTTATGGCTTAACCCTTTTCAGGTTATTTAAAGCCAGAACATACATTTTACATAAGAATTTCTGGAGATAATAATTTACTGATACAAGTCCTACTAATTAACTTATTGCTGGAGGGAGAAGAGGTGGATTCATACCTTTCCCCCCATGGATATTTGCATGAACCTGACTGAAATTGGAACTTGGATTTCCAATACTGAGCCGTTGTCCATTACACCACCCATATGTCTAAGCTTACAACAGCTGGTACACACCAGGCTTGACATTAGGTTCTTGTAAAAGAACCAAGTGTTTCAATGTAATCTGTCTGACTTAGGTGCCTCATTATAGGGTAATGGTTAACAAACTAATCTAGTGACTAATAAGTGACAAGATTGATCTCCCAGGGGGGTACCTGATTTTGTTAAGCTTAGTAATAGGGTTCAAGGACAATATAAAAAGATTTCTGGGATTTGGCATTTTGACTTTAATGAATTGAAAAAAAAAAGATATGTGAACAGCCCAATTTAGAAAATTCCAGAAATTTACATGTTTTTCAGCTATTGCTGTTTTCCCAGGACATTCCAAGCCCAAGAAAAGGTCTTGTCAATGTTTGAGGACTTGTACAAACTAAGTGTATATACTAGTGTATAAATAGACTTCAGTTATAGTGTGACACCTGAAATTTTTACATGAATTTTGACACAAACTCAACCTGAAATGAAAAAAAAAAAAAAAAAATAAAAAATGAAAGTGTGTAGCCCAACTGGTAACTAAAGATCTTGACTTTTAAGCTCCTGAAAAAAATACCTGTAAATAGAGCAACTACTTATTTTTTGTGTCAATAAACTGATCATAAAAGCTTGCACTTATATATTAAATAAATAAAGCTTCACTTTTGAGCATAGCTCTCAGCTGCAATAGAACATTTAACTGAAGGTTCCACTATTTTACTAGACTGGAAAACTAGACTTGATCTTTTGACAGGAAACAAAAATTTTAATGCTGCTTTTAAGTTTCAAATGAAAATTGAAAATCATTAAAGAATGGAGAAAAAAAAAGAAGAAAAAAAGCACCACATTGGAAGAAAAATCCACATTAAATCATGAGACATTGAAGGAACTTTGAAATTCTCCCATCCTAAAAACTTAAAGGTTGCCTTAATGTTTTTAATCAGATGAGACAAAACAAAGACAGAGAGATGTGACGGTTCACTTACAAGAGATTTAACATTTATTGATGCCTTCTTGTTATCCACAGACAGCTTCATTATATCCGTTTCTTCCATCTCGCAAATGGCCTCTTCTCCAAACATGTCTGTTAGCATTTTTGAAAGACAATCCTGGAAATGTTCTTGGCTGAAGTCCAGAGGGGGCGGCACATCTGAAATAGGAAGAAAAAAAAAAAAAAAAAAAAAAAAAAAACAAAAACCAAGTAGCAAGCATGACATAATTGGCTTGCACAATAGATTCAAGTGGATATTTGTATTTTTACCTCCACCCCTGAATAAAAGTGTATTAATGTTACTTGTACTTAACATGTTGACTGCTTGAAGTCAATTATGTAATCTGATTTTATAATGCCAACTTTATAATGGTGAACTTGGGCAATAAAATTTTTTTTCAACTGCTTCATATAAATGAAGCATATAAAAGCATAAGCCATTATATTTTCAATAAATTTTTCTGACAAACTGTTTTTAGTTGCCAGCAGTTATTTGTGTTAAAAATAGTGAATAAGCTCTGTGGCTGTAACCTCAATGGCAAGACCACAAAAACTACCAATCATAAGTTATCTTGTGGTTGGTAGCTTACAAAAAAAAAAAAAAATTGTTTACCATGAAGTCCTATAAAATTAAGTTAAAAAAATTATTAAACTGCGAAGCTAAGTTTTGTCAAAGTAATTTTCCAAACAAATCAGCTTATCCATATTTCATCGACTGGTTTGCGAATTTTAACGAAAGTTTGTAAATCTCGTCAAAAAATGTTAGTGATAACTTCAACAATACTACATACTGTAAGGATCCCATTTTAGTAATGAAAATTAATGCTTAACTGATTAAAAATAAGCACATCTTAAATTAAGTTCTACTGGTGGAACAATGAGCATTAAATAACCCACATTACAATAGCAATAGTTTTTATTAGGAAAGGAGCCATGTTGTATGACTGGGGGCCTTGGTCACAAAAGAACTGTCTTTTCTTGTTTATATTCCAATGCAATCTGTGTGAAGACATGTATAAGAATTGTAGCTGATTGAATAAACATCCCCTACTCTAAAGAGCGTTCAAGTAGCCAATATAATTGCTGTAAGGAGATGGCATCTGAAAAAGAAAGCTATCTAAATGATGACCCTGAAGTTTTGATAGGCACAATAATTAAAAGTAAATTCATAATTTGGATTGCAATAAAATAAATTTTACACTGCATATGATTGTCTTACAAAACGTGTGTGTGTGTGTGGAGAGGGAGCTTTTCAAGTGGATTTAAGGTTTTTCAATTAGAGGAAGCTTTGAAATAACCTGTTGAAGCGGCCTACCTAGACATAAAACATAACAGCCAAATTTTCTGCAATGTGGATACAGCTGTCTTGTCCATACCGCAAGATGTACTGAAGGTGTGTTTATGCAGGGGAGTGAAGGAAGAGTAGAAAAAAATAAAACACCTAAATTATCATCGATAAATTCTCCCACACTCTCCGTGTGTGTGTGTGTGTGTGTGTGTGTGTGTGTGTGTGTGTGTGTGTGTGTATATATATATATATATATATATATATATATATATTTTTTATCGGCGTTGCCTGTGCTTGATTCAAAAAGTGTACGACTCGTACAGCAATCGCTATCACTTGACTTAAAATATTTTTGCCGTTCCTTGCCTTTAAAGGAGTGCCCTTTGCTGTGCTGATGTTGCTACATGCCTTACTTCTTGCATATCTCACACTGCGAATTTTTTCTAAGCTCTATACTAAACATGAAATCTGTTACGAAAAAAGAACTAAACAAAATGAACACAAAACGATCAGCTTTAAAAAAGGACTCGTAACTGGAAAAAAAGAATGTTAACAACAAATACTTTTTCACATGCAACCCAGTTCCGAATCTTCCTGTCTATTCGTGGCAGCCAGCTATAGGCTCTCACTCTGGCCAGTACAAAATGGCCGCAAACTACATGAAAACTGCCATAGAAGCATGAAAAAAAATCGATTATTTCCACTATCGATGGTAGTTGGGAAATGCAAAGTCGGTTTTGGCCTTCCCGCTAACTTGGTGCAAATCTGTCGAAAATTGCAGCCATGCATTTGTTGCACACACACACCCTGCCTTTTATATATATATATATATATATATATACACACACACTTCAAAAGTTTGAAGCCACCCCCAGAATACTTGACAGAAGAGTGAGGGGGGTGGGGGTGGGGGAAGAAAAAAAAAAGAGTTCTTAGAGTCATTGAAAAAAGAATGGAATCAACTGTCAAACTTAGACTTTGAGAAACTTTTAACAAATGCCAAAAAATTTGTTCCTGCTGTAATCAAGCCTAAAGGAGGATATTTTGAGAGCAAAATTTAATAAAATGAATTTTTTCTTTTTGTTATAATAAAATTCTAATAAAAAAATATCACTTTTTTTAAACCATGTATTTCTCTTATTTAAAGTACAAAACACCTACTTTATGGGCCAATTTAAAACATTATCATGGGATGGCCCCATTGAACTGTAGCATATATCAATATATGTCAAATCATGTGGCTCCTTTCCATTCAATAAATTTATAATCTGGAAGCTTTTTCTTACCCTTTGTTATAGATTGAGAAACTTAAACATTAAAAAAAAAAAAAAAAAAAAATTAAAAAAATTAAATTATTTTTTGTAGGTTTTTAAGGTTGTTTATTGTGGTTTCAAATTAGTCCAGTAGGCATTGGGGAGGGGGGGGTTCTTAGGTCAAAGAGCAACAAAGCCCCTAAATGCAAAATGTGAACTTACTTTTCTGTGGCATTGGGTCCGACTCTGCTCTCAGGATCACAGTCACAACAGCATCAGCATACATGTCTGTAACGGGATTGCTATTCCACTGGGGAAAGAGAGAGAGAGAGAGAGAGATAAACATCATTTAGAAACATCTTTACATTTATCATTTGCAGGAAAACTGAAAGAACTTTCCATTTTGCTGGTACGCAATACGAAAACTCAAAACCCTGAACTTTTGAATTTGTTCTTTCCAATGCCATCAACATTCTAACACTATTGCTTATACCAGTGTGCCATATATCATGAGATGGGCACCTTGTGTAGGCCACTCTCTGGCCTGCAGCTGAATGTGGCATCAAGTCCACAAGTGGCTGGAAGACATCTGGTGACATCTGTCCACAGATCACCGATAATTGTAGGTACAGGAATAGATGTTTGATTGGACTCAAGAGCTTTCCAGACCAAACTAATTCTAGTCAACTTGGCCCTGATATCATGTTGCACACTGTCGAGTATACGATTCATTTGTTTTTTTAAGGCTTAGCGACCTTTTGCAGGTTATTTAAAGCCAGAAAATATCTTTTAGAGTACAAGAATTTTTTTTTTTTTTTTTTTGAGATAATGTTTTATCAAGACAAGTCCTACTAATTACCCCACAGTTGCAGGGAGAAGAGGTGGTGTCATACTGTTCACAAGGACATTTGCATGTAAGTGAATATAATGAATCCAATGGGAATTGGAACCTGGCTCTCCAATTAACTATTCCAAACCATTATCCATTGCACCACCCGCATATCCAAGCATACAGCAGTTGGTATTCCCAAGCGGTCACCCATCTAGCCACTGACCACGCTTGACATGGCTTAACTTTGGTGACTGTACAAGAACTGGTCTTTCAACATTATCTGGCTATAAGCCTAATACTGCCTTCCAATGCAAGCTTACAGTACCTGGCATTCCTAAGCAATTGCCCATCTAGGTACTGACCAGGCTCAATGTTGCTTAACTTTGGTGACCATACAAGATCTGCATCACATCCAGACTTTATTAAAGTAACTGGAATTATGCCTTATATTTCCAGTCTCCTAGGATACAATTAACAATGTCATGTCATGTCATTGTGTCTGGTGTCAACAGCTCCCTGATATTTGTAGGCACAGGGTCCTGCAAATTGACATCTCTAATTTTAACAAGGGGGGGAAGGGAAAAAGAAAACATTTATTTGGTGCCTGAGAGTAGGCTTCTACCTGTTTTTTTTTCTTCTTTGCTACTTCAGACCCACTTTGTATGACATCGGTGGTGATTGTTGGCAAAATCCTTAAATACATTTTCAATACCAACTTCAGTGTCACCAAAACAAGACTGTCATGTGGATGTAATGCATGGTGCTCCACTTGTTTGGAAATGTCTAAACTATCATCTATATACAACTGTTTTCTCAGGTGAATGATTAAAAATGGCTTCAGGTAAAAGAATCCTCTTGGTCCTTCGGATTTCACAGACTGGTGTGACAGAATCACAAAGAGCTTTTACCAAATAGCAAAACCCACATCATGCAAAGACTTCCAACAGCAGTAACAACAAAAAGGGGTAGCACATGAAACCGGAAGTCATAATCAAGATATCTGTCCACACAATCTGAAACAAAAGGTTATTTAGATGTAAACATGGCCACTCACTCCACACTGTTTTAAGAGAGAGAGATTTTTATAAATTTCAACCAACAGTAACACTAAGCATTCGATTAATGAATGCCGAATATTGCCTGTATGTAAATGGTTATTCTTATGCTTACCACAAGTACATCAGTTGCCAAATAGTTATAGTGACCTGAATTAATTTGTGAATATCAGCATAATATGCATTAAATAAACCAGTTTAATATGATATCTATTGAATCAAGTACTGAGCCTTGTGCCGGGTCAAGCTAATACATTTATGTATGCAAGGTTGAAGTAATCAATCACTTACCTCTACAATAACCATTCGAGGCTCCACCTGGACAGTGACACAGCCAAACACCTTCAGTGTCCGTTTCTCAGGAAGCTCCTCAATATCACGGGCCAGCTGGCTGAGATAGAAGTGCAATAGAGGAATTGTCCCAGTGTAGGCAATGCTCAGCCTCTGCATTACTGTACTCATGGCCAGGTCTGTATAATCTGGTGGCAAGGACAAATACCAAATAATATTATTTGAGGAACAGATCCAGGTAGCTAGATTAAAATCAGTCATTATGGCCATAAATCACAGCTTGGTACCAAAGCTTGTAAAAATTCAAATCATCGTCATCAGAGCATGAAAATAAAACATTATAAATTGCAGGAGAAAAAAAAAAAAAAAAAAAACCCTCTAGCACACTGCGTTTTCTCTATTGTTTCCTCCCGCCACTCCATTTTTTTTTTTTTTTGAAAGCACAAAAAACATGAGCACCCACTTCTTTAAAATTGGGATAACTTTCTTTGTATCATTTAGACATTTTTTTTTTATACTAAGGATCTTTTTTTTTTTTTTTTTTTTAGTTGAATGCTTATGCTTACACACACACACAGTGTCGGGATCCTAGAGCCATTGTAAATTCCATAATCCTTTCATTAGGTGCATAAGTATGTGTTTCTCCAGAGCTACATAGTTTATAGGCTAAGAGTTTATTTAAGCTTTCAAAAACGACAACATATTTTATTATGTCCTTACTACTACACAGCTGTTTGAGGTTTCCTATAGCCCCACTGAACTTAAAGTCAATTCAGGTTTGCTATGGTAAAAATTTTCTATCCCAAGTAAAAATCATCACAAAAATGGCAAAAGTCATTTTGTCAGTTTATTTTCTCTCAAAAAATGGATTTTCATAATTTTATAGAGGTAAAATATTGAAAAATGACTGTTTTATCATCACCTAAACAAATATCAAGGAAACTTTTGATCTGAACCCCATGAAACTAGGTAATTTCTGAAAGCAAAGGATATATTTTTTTTTTTCATTGTTGGAAGTGTTACCTGATGATCTAAAATCCTTTAAAAAGGATTTTGGTGAAATAAATTATTGTAATGGTACCTTAAAGTGTCTGTTGTTCATTAAATATTAGCTCTGTTCTTCACAACTTATATATATATATATATATATATATAGAAAAATTACCAATGCTGTGGATAAGACAAATTGGTATAAGTATAAGAAATGACAATTGGAAAATATCTTTTTTTTTCTCCACCCGACGTGTTCCGCCTATGGAAGCATTATTAATAAAAAAAATAAAAGCCAACACTCAATAACATCAACTATGAATATAGCCACAATGTGTTGACTGTGTTTGGAAAATAAATACATTTCTGTAACTCTAGAGACATACATAAAAAAATTCTTACATTCAATTAAAAGTAAAAATCTTGATAATGGCTAAAAAAAAAAAAAAAAAAAAAAAAAAAAAAAAAAAAAAAGCTGAAAGCACTCAGACATATAGAACATTTGGACAAGTTCTACATCATTGACATAGAGAAAAGAAATTAAAAAAATAAGAACATGGGAAAAAAAATAATAAAAAAAACAAAAAAAAAAAAAACTTAACCAAAGTACTGTGTCAGTTGTTTTTAACAAAACGTGTATGTGTATATATATATATATATATATATATATATATATATATATATATATAGTGTGAATTTAGGCAGAAAATGTTCATTAAGGCAACAGACATTTTATGTCAATTTTATTGACTTTTCAAAATTATGGATAACCCTTCTCAGATAAGGAAGAAATTCTACCAGAAAGTTAATTTTGGAAGAAATATGGTCCAATCCAAGTCATCAGGTGAGATAAAGTCACATTTGTAGAACTGGTGACTGTAGTGATGTAGGCAAAGTGTGACATGTATTTATATATTTTTATTATAATCTACATATAATTTAAAATTTGGATGCACATTGGGGGTAATGGATAGCAGCTTAGATTGAGGAATTGTAGAGTGGAGTTGGAGTTTATATGTCAGTCAAGGTCATTGCATTCACTTATGTGAAAAGATCCTTGTAAAATCCATTTCTTTTCCCTATAGTTATAGTAGCTAGGTAGCAGGACAGGTCTGGTCCTAAAGCCTTGGGTAGCAGCTGGTCTAGGAGAAGGACAACTGTATTCAAAACCTGAGGAGGGTCAATTGGAAACTTTGTGGCACACTATGTGCACCAGTGCTCTGGAATCGGCTCATTCAAAAATGTGTTTTTTTTTTTGTTCTGCACAAGCCTTCACTACTATAATCAAATCACATGTGCATGTCGTCTGGCTATTTGGTTTTAAGAACAGATTGCTGCACCCTCATATGTTGAAAACGATGGGAGAATCCCGTATACACATACACAGATCCAGTTCTACCATGCAAGTGCTTGGTTTCTGCCCTTTTAGAAACTTGATGATATGGTTTTAAAGGAATAGGATTAGTCTTCAGACTGGCTTGCATCTTATTCAATGAGCTCAATTGTTGCTTTTCTGTTCTACAGCAGACGCAGAAGGTGCCCAAATGCTTTCTGAACCACACTGGACTTGGTCATCAGTTTGTCTCTTACTAAAATCTATCCATGACAGTACTTTTGCTAATTTTAATAACCTAAAACAGAAAGAGTGCTGAAAAATAATCCGAGAATATCTACTCACTTGGTAGGTCAGCAGGTGCCATGATGTGGTAGTTAAAATTCCTTTTCACAAGGATGCCAGCAATTTTGTGGTTTTGTTCTGGTTTCTCCGCAGCCAGCGCGCCAACCACCTGGCATGGGTGGGTTGAAGGGTAGAGGTTGTTGATGAATAATAACAAAGAGAAATGGAGAAGACATCAGAGAGACAAAGATTTCAAAAGAAGATGGCTGAAATGGATTGGATTTAACATCCACTGAAGTCATGGACGACGGCAGAAGTGAAGGGACAGACAATGGATAGAAATTAACAACAATTGTGGAAAGAATCAAAGATCAGTTATGGTTACTGGAATTTTTAAATCTATTCACTCCAAGCAAGGTGATGATACCACTAAGATGCAAGGGGCTACTTAGAGTTAAAGTGAATGAAAAAAAGACATTAGAACAAATCGGAAACCCAAATCTTAAACGAGAAATAACGGATAAACTTCTACTCTTGTTCAAAATGCTGGGGAGGAGTGTGAACCGGATGATAGGCAAATGTATCTAGAATAAAACTGCTTACATATGAACAGAAGTTTGTCCTGTTTATTTAATATCTCTCAATGACTTGGATTTCTGGAATGGGATGCAATTAGTTAAAGATGTAATCACCCCCACCCCATCCCAAATTTTTTAACTTATCTTTTGAAGGTCTTGGTTACATTGGCTTAAGATATAATTAACAATAGAATCAAAAGACAAAAGGTAATTGTAATTTAATTATTACATACATATACATATATATATATATATATATATATATATATATACACACACACATAATTATTAAAAAAGAGAGACTAGATTTCAAAATAAAAACAAATGATGCTAGAGACGAAGCACATTACTGGTTTACAGCGCTTGGTATTGCAAAGTGGTCACCCATCTACATACTGATCAGGCTTAACATTGCCTAACTTTAGTGATTGTATGAGAATGTATGATGCTTTAGCTTAATAAAGAAAATACCAGTCACAGTAGATAATGGGTCATGTGATTTAATCCTTATGCAAAAAAACAAAACAAAAAAAAAAAACAAAACAAAAACGAAAATTGCTTAAAAATGATGTGTGTCTCTAATATAAAAAGTGTGTAACTGAACTAAGCAAGATTGTCAGGACCACTGTGCAGGACCCACTGACTTCCAAACTATGGAGGAATGTGAAATGCTGCTCTCAAATGAAATATGAGCAGTGGCTAATGAAAGTAGCTCATAAAGGAAGATTCATTGGGATTTGATTAAGGGAAGGGTCCCAAGTCCTACCCGGAAAGGGAAAAAAAAAAAAAAAAAAAAACGACCTGTTTGCTGCAGATTTTCCATAGACCCGAGGCCACCGGAACAGACACCTCCTGGATTTTCACCAGAGCCATATAGGAGCTGTAAGGTCCGCATTCGTGCATTTCAAGTGGCCACTATGGGGGCGACGGGAGATTTCCACAGCTACGAAGGGGCGCATCTATCAGGCTATTGTTTGGACTATCCTTCTCTATGGCTGCGAAATGTGGCCACTTAGAGCGGTTGACCTACAAAGACTTGAAGTGTTCGACAACGATTGCCTTCGCTGCATTCTATGATGCTGCCGAATCGATCATGTGCCCACAGCCACTCTACGTCGTCACCCGAGTCTCTGTCCTCTTCCACCCGTCCTGCTCCAGCATTGTCTCCGATGGTTCGGGCATGCAGCTCAATGCTTGGAGGGAGAGCTCATCTGTGATGTACTTCTCCCTCCTTCTCTTCCTGGCTGGCGAAAACGTGCCAGTGGTCAGCTGAGGACGTAGGCTAGCACAATCAAAGATGACCTAGCGGTACTATCGGGTCCACAAGTAGTTGGTCTTCGACGATGGAATCGCGGTTGGCTCGCCATTTCGTGTGACCTGGTTCAGGATCGGCAAGTGCGGGCAGTGATGGTCCGTGATGCTGGACTTGCTTGGGAGGAAGCCGGTTCAGCCCAACCAGGGTGAAAATCGATACAAATCAAAGTCAAGTCAGTGAAAGTAGCAGTAATGAAGCTCAGCGATTATGCCCCCTGGGTGGAAATAATGAACACAATTTAACTGTAATTAAATTTTCCCAATCAAAATAAAAGTATTACAAAAAAGTACTGCTTATAATTATAAGCCTGTGACTATTAGAAGAAACTTTAATACAGAAGTCCTCGGGTTATAAAATCCCGGCTTACGACGATTTGTGCGCTTACAATACAATCTCCATCAATCTAGCTTCGACTTATGCTGTTTGACTCAGCATGGCGGAAGAATATGTCATCATACAGCACTAGAGTGAGGGAGATGGTGTGGAACGAGATCTTATGCTTTGGCATCTCATCTACTGAGAGCGATCAATATATAAATAGACAAGCAGCTTAAAATAATTTCGTTATATGCATGAAATTTATGTCCTCCATGTGTTATTTTTAGTTCTAATTATGTCCTAGAAATGTAGTGTTATTTCCTAGATTATTACTTTACTATTGCATTAGCATCGGTGAGTGACATAAGTGTTTACATGGAAAATCATGTTACAATACATCGTAGGAACGGAACATTGTCATAAGACAAGGACACCCTGTACTAAATATTGATAATGGCTGAAAAATGACAAATATAAGGTTAAACTCACTACTCATGATTTACAAGTCTAGCCTTTAGTCATTACACTCCACTGGAGGTGCCCATGCACATCTCATAACAAATTAGTTCTTATTTTTCTCAATTATTTGGTGTCATTAATTCCATGCGCCGTTACTTTTATATGATGTTAAATTTGATTTTTCCAAACATTGGAGAAACTTTTTCAAAATGCAATCTTTTGTGGCATATTACTCATATTTTATAAACCAATTGAAAACAGAAAAGAAATTTAATATATATAAAAAGAATTGAATGAAAACCATAATTGATAATTAAAGTAAGAACAAGAAACTCATTAATCACCCAAAGCGTCACAGAACACGACCTTTTGTACTAAGGGAATAGATTCCTTCATTGAAAGTACTATATTACCTACAGACCATAAGTTCAATTCTTAGCCAGGTACCAAAATTGGTCTTTTGTAGATGACCTTGAAATAAAAACTGTATTTTAACCTATAATATTTCATTATAGTTGGTTCACATGTTTTATAATTTTGTAAATTTTTTTTTTTTAATAAGTTTGTGAACAAAATATTTTTTCATATTTGTTTATAAAATGGTAAATATTGCATTGTAGTTGGTTCATAATCTATAATCTTGCAAATATAAAATGAATCTAATAAATAAGCAAACTAAACAGTGTGGAATTGTTGTTAAAATTCTAAACGTAACTTTTTAAAACAAACTTTGACAAGAGAGTATATAAAGAAAACCCTCCTTTTGACACACCTGTTCAAAGTGAACACCTTGCCAAAAGAACAAGTAAATTGTATCAGGGATGAAAATCTACACAATAAATGATGATTTGATCTGAATGAACAGGAAATAACAATTATTACATAGGTTTCAGATTACAATTAAAAAAAAAAAAAAAAAAAAAAAAAAACAAACTAAAAACACAGATGTAGTTAATCAAGATTTGATCAATAAGCAAGAAAATATAATTTGGATGTTTACTGATATCATCGCCAGAGTATTATCAGGCATCGTCTGCAGGCAAATTTGATGCGGAGATGTCAGTAAACACAGAGGTTGAAATCAAGTTTCTTCTTTGTTAATCAAATACTGATCATCTACAAGAATAGTTTCAAAGTTTCTGTTTGAGATTGTGGGAGGAGGAGTTATCATTATTTACATTCAGACTAGTGTCCTCATCTTTATCACAAGGTTTCAGCCATTGCGAGCTATGGCTTTCGTCAGGTGTATGCCGCTTTGAGTAACCTACAAGGAGTTCCTTTCATTTAGTCTACACATGTCTATCACTATTTTTAGTGCTCAGTTAGTGATCACCCTGTTTCCATTGAGTCCAAGTGCACACTGCCTGACCCAGTGATTGAACTCCCAATTACTTCACCAAATTCAAAAACAAACGCTTTAATCCACTAGGCTTTTGTCCTGTGGGACAATTTTCTGTAGAGAACCTGGAGCCTTAAACCTAACCTGCCTACCTGCTGATGGGTGCAGAAGCTGCTTGACTACACTCACTGAAGTTTTTCATTTTTGTTACAGCTGCAAATACTGTTGAAGACTTGCTGTCATTTGTTTTTTTTTTTGTTTTTTTTTTGTTTTATCAGTGGCTTCCATACTGTATTTCTACACTAGGCCTACTAAGGAGATCCCCGTAAGCTAGCATACATGCAGATTCATTCAGACATCTAACTCTCCAGTATTTTCATTTCATTCCACAGGGCCTGATGATTACCCATTTCCCCTTGATGCATGATCCCATGTACTCCATGTAGGTTACTTGGATCAATATACACCTGATGAAGGATGGAAGGCACAACAGCCGAAACGTGAAAACAAAGATGAGGACAATGGCCTTGGAATGTCTTTCATCATTTATTCTCGTGTTAAGTGAAGAAGAAAACGAAAATAACAGAAAAGGAAGTTAGATGTAACAGTTGTTAGCTGCTAGCTGCATAGGAGCCAGAACTGAAAAGAAAAAAAAGAGAAAAAAAAAAATTCCCTCACACCAGTGTCCCTCTCTTAACTTGCCTATGCCTCTTGCCGAGTTCCTTCTGCGTCACTCTTGGGCAGCAGTTGCTGGGGGTTCATCCTATTTGGGAATCTTTTGTACTCTGCTGTAAAAATCTCTCGAAGATTCCTGTGTCTGTCTCAGACTGGCAAGAACAATTAGTGGAGAGAAACAAAAAGAAAAAGAAAAAAAAAAAAAAAACGTGCAGGGGAACCTCCACAGGGAAGGCAGATATGTAACAGATAGAAAGGAAACTTTCTGCAGTTTTTGTGTTGCCATGACTTGACAAGGGTTTACAGAGAAGGGCAGAAGAAAATTAAATGTTTTGGCAGTTTCATTTGGTAAGGACAGAAGTGGCTTTAGGGGCTTACAACAAGTTTGTTCCTGATGAAGGAGGAGATGGGCTGCAGGTTACGTGTCAACATCAGAAATGGAGGAGAGAGTCTACAGAAAGCGAATACCTTATGAAAAATGAGAT